TGCGTGTCCTGCACAGATTAAGGCTGAGCATTTTATGCTTTTTCTTCTTCTTCTTCTTCTTCTTGTTGCTCTTGTTCTTGCTCTTGTTCTGGGTTTGGTTCACTCGCTGCTTCTGCTTCTTCTTCTTCTTTGGGCCTTTGGGCTTGGCTCTGTCTAGACATTTTTGTGGCACGATACTCTAATTGCAGTCATTGCTCAATCGATCCCATCGATTTTTTGGCCACACATTTCTTCTTCATATTCTCTTCACTGATTCGAGTTGGGTTTTGGTTTAGGTTTCTCTGGAAAGTGCTCGGGGCGAGTTTATTATGCTAATATCTGCTGAAATCCGAGGCAGACAATTGGGTGCTGAATTTCTTATGCAATTAACAGTTAAACACCCATTGGTTATTTGATATAAGCATGCGATATATATATATCTATCTATATATAATATATATATATATAGTTACCTCAACAGCTCTTTCAACTTTCAAACAAAATGATAGACATCGTTGGCTTACCTGAAAGGAAAAGTGAGAAAAAGTTGGTTAAAAAATAGATTTTAATTAGAATGTATCCTTAAATAATAATATTACATCTTTTAAGATGCACTTTATTCAACATTTGACTACTTATTATCACATTTATTAATGTTATACCCCTCTATCAGCAGCATCCTAGGGATGCATGTTATGAATGTTTCAGAGACATAGAAGACCTCAACTGATGGAAGATAGGCTGTTGGCTCAGAAGGGGGCACAATAGATCGAGTAGGTCGCTGTGCAATCCCCACCATAATAATAATAAAAAAGTAATATAAATTGATATTTTTTATTCAAGCTCTCGTTGGTTCTCTTTACAATTTTGTTATCTTGAAAGTCTTAGTATCCATTTATAGACTTTCATATCGCTTCCCTTTCACCACTTCTCTCACAATTTCTTTTGTATATCGTTAATCGATGTTAAATATGTTTTTAAATTCGCCAACTTTTACAATTTAACTTTGTATGCCCGATTAAAATTGTTTCTTATTCATATATAGCCATATCCATCTAAGCTGATACGATTTTTGGCAATAAGCAAATGTCAGAAGCAAGAGCCTTAATAATCTCTTGACATTTTATTATAATTACTTACATTTGCCACAAGCTACTCAAGTTTACCAATTTCATCTCGTTGACTTGTTATGTCTACCAAGTTTCTCAGTCATTATACAGATATTTCTTCTTTCTTTCCTCTCTGCTTCTTTGCTACTCAAAGCTCAAACTCAGTTCACATATTTTACTCACTCACAACCTTTTTACTTTTTCTCTAGCTTTTTACCATTTGTAACCAGAAAACCCCCGCCACCAACTTGAAGCGTCAACTTTCGTCCGAGTTTGTCGACTTTCCCAATCCCAATTCCAATCCCAATCATACCAAGGAGATGGTCGCATCTGTTGTGAACTGCGTCGACCTTGTGGCTGTCATTAGCATATACATATACCCTGTACATACCCAATATATAGAAGATTAATGAGGCAAACACCGACGCATTGGGTGCACTCAAGCTGACCATACATATAAATAACCAATTACAGATGCCAGACCAGCTCTGCTCGGCTCTTCGCATACTTATATTTATTTTATACATAACTCAAAGCGCAAACGTCAAGAAAATGTACGAAAAATTGGGCGTAAAATCAGAGAGCAGCTGGAGCAAAAGCAAAAGCATTTCAAGTTACTCCAATCCTTCATCTTCTTCTTCTTCATCTTCATCTGACTAGGGAGCATTTCATTTGTGCAGACATTGCGCATACGCCACATTGAACACGCAGCAGGCAGCAGGCAGGCAGCATGAAGACCCAATTGCCAGTGAAATTGCAAAAGAAAAAAAATAATAACAAGCCAAAGTCCTTTTGGGGTAGAGAGTAAGAGAGCACCAGCAGATACCCTGTGCTCAGATTTCGACCCATAACGACCTCTGTCTTAGAGCTCTTTCATCAATCCTAATCAAGAATTGCATTTAAAAATTCTATATTCTCCCAGAATGTATTATTTGATATCGATAATTATCGATTTGGCAAATGAGTAGAAATAATCGAAAAGTACACATAAAATAAATATATGTTGATATATAGCCCAATTATTAGATTTGTTGTCCTCAGAGTGCATAAAGAGAAGTGAGATATCGATAAATCGATACATAGTTTGGATAAATCGATAGCATAAATAATCTAAATTAGATCACAGCTGTCTATATACAACAAGAATACTCATAACAAAATTATCCCCTGCAGATATTTAAACTTCCTTGATATGATTAAACAAGAGAGTGTTCTGATATCGATATTTATTGATTTTAGGCATACTTAGGGATAGCTAACGAAATAAACTACAATAAAGAACTACTAGATAGATAGCTGCTGCCATTTAGAGGCCTTTAATTCTGCCAGATTTGCATAAATACGTTTGAATTGAATTTCGATATTTATCGATTTGTGTAGAATAAAGTTAGACAACTATTTGTGCAGAGTGGCTAACCGAAATCGACAAAAGTTAAACACCTTATCAACTTAATATATAATCGAAGCTGCCTTCTGCTGCTAATCACATTATTATACCCATTTTTCATACATATTTTTTAATGGGTATACTAAATCGAGAACCCTACTGAGTTGCGTCCCTACGTCATTGAGTCCCTGTGGCACATTTTAGGCATTTGTGCGTCCGCTTGCTTAAGTGCCTCGCCTGAGCTCATGCTATCAGCCAGCACAATCCGGCAGACACCACACACCACACACTATCCACATGCCACATCCACATGCCACATCCGACAAACATCCTTTATTCTTCGTCCTTGTCTGCGTTCGCATTGCGACTAACAGCCTTGGCATGATTTCATTACATTACGCGCTTTCCTTCTCTTATCACTTTTGCTCTCTTTCCCTCCTACTCCCTCCCCACCGCCCCCTCCTCTGTCTATGTCTGTGTGCTTGGCTTTTTATGGGTCGTTGCTTTTGGGGCGGGCTCCTCGATGCCCCGTTTCGTTTCGTGCCACGCCGCGCACCGCCAGACACATCCAGCCACTGGGACTCTGTGACTTTGAAGGAGGAGACAGAGGAGTTCAAAAAAGGACGCACGCACAATGCAATATGGCCACGACAGCAAGGCATCAACGCTGTACAACGTAGAATGTAAAAAAATAACACAACTGAAAATAAAACCGAAAAACAATCGATATTTTTCGGGCCGACAAGCAACACGCGTTTTTTTTTGGCCATTTTATTTTAGTGGCTCACAGAGAAAAGCAGCAGCAGAGTTTTCATGGCCGGGGCCAAGGCTGGAAATGGAAATGGGACGCAGGCACAGACTGGAATTGAGGCTGCGCAGGGCGTTGCCTTGAGGGCGCGGAGGGAACAGTGTGCGTCTGGCGGGGGGTGGTGTGGGTGTGGCAGGGTGGCTGGGCGGCTTTCGCTACCTCAAAGTTTATTGTCTGGGTTTAGCCTTCAACTTGGCTGGCGATGCGATGCCAAAAACCGACGTCGACGGCGACAGCGACGTCGACTACGACGCTGTCTGGTGACCTTCAACTTTCAACTTTATTGGCATTGTCAGTTAGACCGAGTGCCACCCACCCACTTAACTGACACCTCCTACCGCCTGCCAGTTACCACCCACAACAAACGGCTCAGTCCCCGTTTTATTGCTTTGTCTGCTTTGTCTGTGCGCATTTTTGGCAATTTCAAGGCTTACTTTTCGCCCATCATTTCTGGCCCAAACCCCACTTTTGGGTGTCTGCCATGCGCGACCTTGAAACTGGTCACGTTCTCACGTGAAAGGTGAAAGGCACGTTCATAGCACATTTATATTTATTTGCTTGTTTGTTTGCTTGCTTGCTTGTTGGTGTGTGCGTGTCTCGTTTGAGCTCGTGTCTAATTCAGTTTGAGGTCTACAAATTTCGGTTTTCCTTGTAGTGATTTTAAGACACATTTTCCAAGTATTTCTATTTCTGCATATTGTTAACTTCTTCGTCTTCCCTTCTCCATATCCACAGCCTGTATATTGCCAGACTCAGCCAAAAAGGTTAATAAACCGGCTCGGAACTGTAAAGACTGCTTAATCCCTATCCCTTTCAAATTGTAAACAGAATAAACCAAGTTCAAGACTTTTGGGCGTGTAAACAATATTTGGTTGAGAAAAAAAGCAAACAGAGCTGATAATACTAGAAAATAAATAAGTTTAAAAGATAATTCTGGGAATACATTTTAAATTACATAAAAAATGTTCAACAAAATTAAAAATTAATGGAATAGCAAAGGAAATGCGTTTGATTAAAATCAGTCTAAAAACCTATTGAAGAACCACATAAAACAAATTACCAAAACAAATAAAAATAGAAAAAATAGTATTGCTTCAGAAATTAAAAAAAAAATAATAATTAAATAAACATAAGCTCCAAAAAAGTGTTTTGGACAGATGCCAACAACACGCGGTGTTCCCAAGCGGTCCCCCATCTAAGTACTAACCGCGCCCGACGCTGCTTAATTTCGGTGATCGGACGAGAACCGATGTATTCAGCGTAGTATGGTCGTTGGCGAATGTCGTTCGCTTAATAAACGGTTTTATGCGACACATTGGCAATATGGAGTTGGGAATTTCTAAAGCTTACAATGCTTATGGAGTGGTTAAGAGTTCAAAAACATTACACATTGACTTTCAACGGAAAGGAAAATCAAAGAAAACTGAATCGTGGTATTTGATGAGTGTTTCCCAGAAAAGTAATAGCTTTTATACCACTATATTTATGAGTAAATATTCATTTTTCTTGCCTAAATAACTTATATTTTTAATCATTTTTGTACCCAAATAATTCGGCAGTAATAAAGCACGAAGCTTTTAACTACACTGCTAACAAAAAAGCTTTTAACTCAAAGGCGCCATCTGTGTTCAATTCTTGGTAACCTTAGCCGTGCACACAAACGAACACTAGATGGCGCTGCGTGCACAGCTCACGCATCTCTTTCGCACACACTCACCTGCTTTGCCATTGGGACTATATGGATCGTAGCTGCCAGCTGACATTGGCGATGCATATCCGTTGGACATGTTATAACTGTGATTCTGCGAACCGGGCGACGGCGACAACGGCGGCGCTGAGCTGGGCACACTGCCCGGACTTGACGTTGACATCCAATCCTCGGGCCTGCAATGCAATGCAACATGTGTGAAAGAGTGAGGAGAGGGAAAGCAAGAGAGAAACTTACGCATCGAGACGCGCTCGCTTTGTGGGCACAAAAGCCAAATGCCCGTTGGAGTTGGAGGAAGAAGATGCGGCAGCCGCGGCAGCAGCAGCAGCGGCCGCTGCTGCCGACGTTGACGCTATGCCACTGCTGCTGTTGCTGTTGTTGTTGTTGATGGTCAAGGCGATGACGTCAGGCATGGGTTCGGTTTTAATTGTTGTTGTTGTTGTTGCGGGCGTTGCAGTCGACGTCAACGTCGACGTAGACGTCGTCGTTGTGGCAGTTGTCAATAGCTTTAATTTATCCTCAACACCATTTGCAAACGTCAAGGCGGCATTGCTACTGCTGCTGCTGTTGCTGCCAGCGCCTGCAGCAGCGGCGGCGGCGGCTGCAGCAGCGGCTGCGGCTAATTGTTGTTGCAACAAAATGTGACTGGGTATTTGGGTTGTCTGTTTTGGTTTGCTTTGTTGTTGTTGTCCAGTTGTTGGCTGTTGTTGTTGCTGCTGTTGTTGTTGTTGTTGTGTGGCATTCAAACGGTACATTTTGCCTGCTGCATGTATTTTCTACAAGCTGTAAATTGTTGTGGTTGTTGCTGTTGTTCTTCTTGTGGTGGCGTTTGACAACATGGCCACGCCTTCATGTTGCCTATAAGCATTTTATTTTACATAGCTTGTCAGTTGCCGTATAGCTGCAATAAAAAACAAAAGTTAGAAAATATAATTTGTAAAACATGTTAAAAAAATCTACAAAAAATCAAACCCGCCCCCGGGTGGACTCGAACCACCAACCTTTCGGTTAACAGCCGAACGCGCTAACCAATTGCGCCACGGAGGCTGCGTTTACAGCGCAAAACTTGTACATACTTCAAACGAAAAGCACACACACAAAGCTCCAGCTGACTAAAGCACGGCTAGTTATCCAATGAAAAAGTGTTTTAGCTAAAAGAGCTTTCATTAAATAAAACACTGCTTTGGCTGCGTTTCACATGCACTGCTTACTAAAAAAGAGACTTTGGACGAGAAAGTGTCAGCTGCCTCTGTGGAGCAATTGGTTAGCGCGTTCGGCTGTTAACCGAAAGGTTGGTGGTTCGAGTCCACCCGGGGGCGATTTATATTTTTTTAAATACATCTTTGTATTACTTTTAAAATAAATCAATATTAATTATTCACATTTAATTGACAGTTATTAGTTAGTTTTATAGCTCACAGGCTATTAATTTCAATTAAATATTATTTGCTTGAAATAATTATTTGGTTTGCATTTTTTCTTCCCATATTTATTTTTGTATGGTTCGCATGACTAAATGTCAATTACCTGATGCTAAACGGGGTCAATGCAGCAGTTTAATGCACCTTAAGTACTCGTCGTAATAATTGCAAGTGGCATGCAACCACCCAACCCATCCCAAACATCTCTCTCTCACTCTCCCTTTGCATTTCCCTTGTCTTTGCCCTTTGTTGTTGTGCTTTATTATTGCTAGTTCTATTCTCAAATGAACGCATAGCCACGCCTCTTTTGACAACCCACCCACACACACACACATGCACACAATTATCAATAAGCACACACACATACACACATGCACATTTGGAGATGTGGGTGTGTGCGTGGTGTGAGCATATTGACCCAGAATCCTTGATAAGGTCGTCACTCAACACGCCGACGTTGACCCAATTTTGTTATAGCTTCTGCGCTTTTATATAAGGACATATATCCCAGGGGAATCATGGCAAGCGGGGAGGCCACATGGTATATTCGAGTGTGGGAATAGATTTGTTATAAACATGATTATCATACTTGTGGCCGCCGCTGCGGAATTCAATCTAGCTGCAAAATTCTATTAACAAACGAATTATACAATTTTCTATGCAGGCTCTTTCCTCAAAAATAAATCAAATCGACGTTGCTCGACTAAGAGTTATGTTTGCATACATATATATTTATATATATATATAATATATAATAGATTGTGGTTAAGGTGTCTCAACCCAAAAACAAGTCTCCAACTTATCAAAGAATTATTGGCATTAAAATATCGGCTGAGTTTCTATTAAATTTTAACTGATTATACCCGGCTTGGGCTATTAATTTATATACAGGGCATATATATAGAAATTGGCAGATTGAAATCTATTTATTCAACACACAGTTGATGAAAATAGAATTTATTTCATTTTCTGTTTGTTGTTGATGTTGCTGCAATTGGCAAAGTTTATTCGCCTTTTGTCGCTGACATGTTGCACTTGCACTCAATTCTATTACTATCCCGACTGCAGTTTTGTTGTTGTTGTTGTTGCTGCTATTATCATTGTTATTGTTGTCTGTCTGTTTGTCTATCTATCGTATGACTAAACAAAACTGTCTGAAATCTGACGGCCTCCCCTTCCCAGGCCCTGCCCCTGCCTCCTCCTGCCTGAATGACCGATGGACCGATGCTGTAAACGATGCATTTCCGTTGCAGTTTTATTTTTGAAAAGCGAGGAAGAAAAGTGCAAAAATAAAAAATGAAAAAAAGAGAGGGAACTTTAAAAAAAATAACCTCATCTGCATTGCCAATTGGCGCGCCACACAAAACAGCTGCAATTTATGCACATTACAATTAGCAAAAAAGAAGAGTTTCAGTTCTTCTTCCTCTCACATTCTCTTCTCTCTTTGCCCCCCCTTATTTACTTTTTCCAGTGCAGTGAATTGAATGAAGCTAGAAAAATGGGGGGCGAAAAAATGCAAAGAAAACCCATTTTTGCATAGTTGAGAAAAGTGAATTGAATTGAGTATTATCATTAGCTGTTTGCGCTTAAATTAATGCTTATCTTTAAAACTAATGATATAATTATTTAAAATTTATCACCTACTAAATTACTCACCAGTTTTGCATGTCGTTTCGTTTGTCATACAATCCAAATAATTATTTTTTATTTATATTATTTCTCTTCACTTCTTTTGTGTAAGTTATATTAATTGTCCGTATATATGTCGTAATATTTCACCAAAATCTGTAAATAAAAGCAACAAGCAGTCGGTCAGTCGGCCATCAATCAATCAAAGCAAATTTTGACACTTTAATATTTAGCTGTATTCAATTTCAAATAATCATTATTCAAATGACATTTAACACACTGTGCGCTATTGCACTGAGAGAGCGCCAACGAGCTCTCCTCTCGAAAGAGCGTGCACAAAACTTCCAGTTGAGGAGCCGCGAGAGAGATTGTTTGTCGAGAGAGTGAGAGCGAGTGAGAGCGCGGTATGCAATTGGGTCTCAGTCAAATGGCAACGCCGACAGCCCCTCCTCCACCACTCAGCCCAACAAGACACAGACACGTGCATTTCAGCAATTTTTATTGACAACAAAAAGCAACAAAAAAACACAACGCAGCAAAATTTTTGAATGAATTAATTTTTTTCAATGTGCACATTAAGTTTTGCGTTTAAATGTCATTTATGTGTATGTGATTTAATAAACATTACACGCGCCACAACAACGTGAACAACAATAAAACGCACACACTGCCTCTTTCTCTCTCTCTTTTTGTCTATCACTCTCTGGCTGCCGTTTATTATTGCACTCGCACAGTTTCCACTGATTCTAGCGCTCTCTCAGAGAGAGCCAAACAACTGCATAGATATGACGAGTGGGTGGGCGGAAGGGCGAGAGGGAGAAAGGTAAACGTCACTTGCTGACAGCATGGCATGGACTGCACCAGCAGCAGCAACAGCAACACACACTCATACACATACTGCTGCATTTTCGCTCTCTCAGTTTCGGTTCTGCGGAGCTCTCCCAGTAAACAATGCGAGCCAACAAATGGAATGGAATTGTGAGTGAGAGAGGGAGAGCAACGTCACTCGCTGGCAGTAGCAGCAGCAACAACAACAACACTTGGCACGGCACAGTTTTTGTAGTTGTTTAGAAGATCGCATACATATTTCTAATTTAACACAACACATGCATGTTTATTTATGTACATTCTCTGCTAACTAATAATATTCTGTTAACTAACATTACGTGAAAACGATTTCGTTTGTTGTTTTGTTGCTGTTGTTCGCATAGAACTTTTTCTCAAGCAAATTGGACACAGACACACACACTCAAACGCGCACTCGTATAGATGACAAAAACAAATTCACACACACGCACTTAAACAGGGCAGAGGGGCGGGGAGGCGTGAGGGAGCATGTGAGTTGTGTTAATTAAACTAAAATTTGTTTCACTTTACGTTTTGTTTTGGCTGTTATTTCTAGCACACAATTTGTTTCTTTATATATATGTATATTTTTTTGTTTTCTGCACTTTTCAGCGACATAAGCGACGCGCAATGTAATTTTTATTACACGAGAGCCGCACATAAAAACTAAAACTAAAAGGCCGCCGTTGCCGTTAGCCCGTTGCTGCTGCTGCGGCTGCTGCTGCTGCTGCCTGTTACTCTCTCACTCTCTCTATTGGCGCTCTTTGGCGCGCCTCTCTATCTCTTTCATTCTCTCTGTTCTTTTGCGGGGGCGAGAGAGTGTGGAGAGCGCTGCTTGCAATTGTTATTGCTGTGTTGCTTTTGGTTGCGACGCATGCGCTCTGCTCAATTTTTCTACTTGGCAATGCTTTGACTGCTAAGCTGCGCTCAACTTTCGCGCGAACAAACAGCAACAACAACAACAGAGATATGCAGTAGCCAAAGCGGCAGCAATCGGGCGCTGTCGATATGCTGCACCGTGGTGTGTGTGCAGTTCATTTCATATGGAAAATTATTTATACTTGTAATTTTAAATAATATTATTATTATGTTTTTTATTTAAGAAGATTAGTTCTTCATTTTACTGCTCTGATTTTTGATTGCACAAATTTGGCATTTGCGGCCCACTGTGCACTCACACACCATAGCACCAACTTTGGGGCCAGCGTGCGGAACTTTTCAAAAAACTGGTTTTCGACTTGGGCTCATTGTGTGTGCTATGCCTGCCTGACTGGCTGGTTATTGCTGCTGCTGCCGCTTTTGGTTGTGTGTAGTTGTTGCTTCTGCTGCTGCTGTTGGTATTGTTGTTGGTATTCTTTGGTTTCTTTTTCGTTGTGGTATTTAAGCTCTACTTGTTGTTGCTGTGCTTTTGACTTTGTAACACACTTTTTGTGTTGATTGCGCTGCCAACGTCGCAGCCGCTGCTGCTATGTGACTTTTGATTTTAATGCTTTTTTTTCGTTAATGGAATGTATGTTTGTACGTATGCATATATGTATGTATGTGTGTTTGTATGTATGAGTTTAATTTTTGCGCGTTTTGGTTTCTTTGTTGCGCTTAGTCGCTCTCTTCTGTCCGTCTTGAGTGCATTAAGATTACGCTGACAATGAGACGCACACGTGTTGTTGTTGCTGTTGTTTTTGTTCTTGTTGTTGCTGTTTTCTTCATTTCGTGGGAATTTGGCAAATTTTTTAGTTTATTTTCAACACTTTAGACAAGTGAAAAGGTCAGGTGTTTTTTGTGTTTTTTGGGCTTCAGGTGTATAGAAAGTTAAGTCTTATAGTACATAATATAACTTAACTGTTGTGTTGGTTTTTTCATTGTTTATTGTTTTGACGTGACTTTGCTTGGCCCGCATGCAAGCCAAAGGGGCAAGCACTTAACCTCACTTTACCCCCACACACCCCTCAAGTAATTCGTAATAATCGTCTATTGAACTTATTAACCAAGGGAATCCAATAAAGTGACCCAACAAAAGCAACAAACCCTGTGCAGAAAAGCACAAATGCAATAAGAAGAAAAATATCTAACCAGACAGACTATTTTTATTTAAAGTATCAATTATTTGTAATTTTCATGAATAGCAAATGTTAGTAGAAGTTGCATTAAATGCAATTCAGAATTTGCTCAACCCACTTCCCTTTCCCCTTACTATTCCAGCATATTTGCAATGAATTATGGCTTTGCACAGAGAAATACAAAATGCATTTACCAAAGTATAATAATATTTAACAAAGCAAACTATTTTTATTTAAAGCATTAATGAACAACGTTAGTTAAGTTGCAATATATGCAATAAAAACTTAAATTCCCTCTCTTTTTCTGCATATTTGCAATGAGCTAAGGCTCTGCTGGCTGATTTAACATTTCCGAAAATTAAATTCAAAAAATGCACATGGTGAGGGGAGGGACTGAGAATGAGATGGGAAAAGAGAATGGTAATGGGAATGGGAAGAAGAGTGGATACGGGGGCCCCACGCCCCAGTTGAATTTCTTAACACGCAAGCGAATCGCGGCAAACATTTATAAACAGTAGCAACAACAATAACAAAAGCAATATAAAAAAAACGCAAAGCGCAGCAGTGACGAAAATGTACAAGCAACAACAACAACAACGAAAACGTCGACGACAACGACGGCAAGTTGAATGACATAAAACATCAACTGACCTTCAACTCTGCGACTGAACCTTAGAAAAAAAATGAATAATTTTACACTCGAAACAAACACAAACACACACACACACACATGCACATGCATTGCGCTATATGCAAATGTAAGCGGCGAGCGGCGCATGCAACTTACAGCAATTTACAATGGACACGCGGACACCGCCAAATAGTTGTGCAGAGAGCGAAAGACAGCCAGAGAGACAGAGAGAGAGAGAGAGAGATTGAAAGCACCCAAGCATGTCAAAAAAAATACCTTACACACACACATGCATAGGCGTGTACATGTAATAGTGTTGCAAGCGCCAAGCAAAACGTCAGTTCTCGTTCCAATGTGCAATAATGCCCAAAAAGCAAATGAAGAGTGTGAGCGAGAGATGTAGCGAACTAAAAGCTTGCCCATGCACAGTGCATGACGTAAATTACAGGCCTGCTCTTGCACTTGGGGTGAGAGAGAGAGAGAGAGAGAGAGAGATAGAGAGAGAGAGAGCAAAGCAGAGCAAAGCAAAGAGAGCATCGAGAGAGCGCACTCAACTACAACTAGTACTTAGTCGAGTATAGTTGAGTGAGTAGTTTTGCTACGGCCTATTTAACGCTGCATGTTTATTTTTGGCGCTCGCGGCAGCGACGCAACAGCCGCAGTAACAGCAAGCAGCAGCAGCAGTGGCGGCGGCGGCAACAAAATTGCATTCACTCTCGTTTCAGTAGATTTTCTTTTTGTTTTAGGGCGTTGTTGTATACAAAAACGGAAGTGTAGGCGGCGGGAGCCGTTTTTTTTTTGTTTTTCTCGTTTGTCATGTCAGCGGATGCATCATGTGACGACGACGACGAGTGGCAGTTGCATGAGCGCTGCTCTGTGAGAGAGATTGGTGGTGGCGGGTCTTGGGGGTGGCGAGGCGAGGAAATCAGCCTGGTATGTGGAATGTCGTGCATGCCATTAACACCTGTGTAAATGACACAGGTAGGTCAAATTGTCTTTATTTTCTGTTTCAGCAGTAGAGAGAGACAGAAAGAGGGTTAAACAGCTGTTGGTTGTGAGGGGGTGGCAAAATGGCTAAGCCCCAAAGCGCCAAGAACAACATTTTGGCAAATAATATAAATTTAGATCGATAGAGTCACACAGTATTTGGGGCAACAATTAAAAATAACACGCAGAAGCCTCTGCAAGCTAATAGCTGAACGTGGCTCGGTCACCAAGAAATCATGCCAAGGATAAACAACAACAAAAAATATAGTTTTTATCGGGTTTCCATATCTAAATGCAGTAAAGATATGATATTTTCATTAATTAGTTAAATACTTGATAATAAAAAATGTATAAGAAGGTAAGTATAAATAAAATAATCTATTTAAAACACAGAATCTGTTACCTAAAGAGAACAATGCCGTAAACACGTGCCTCGTCCACTGTGCCCCAACCAAAAAAGTGTTTTTGGGCAATGCCAACAACACGCGGTGTTCCCAAGCGGTCCCCCATCTAAGTACTAACCGCGCCCGACGCTGCTTAATTTCGGTGATCGGACGAGAACCGATGTATTCAGCGTAGTATGGTCGTTGGCGATAGCCCAGCGTTTAGAGTGGGATTATATATTTGGTAGTTGTTAATATCTACTTGTGAATCCCTTGTTTAACTTACAATAATGTAAGGTACTTTTGTTACTATGATATGCATAAGCATTGAATGGTATTTTTGCGAAAGAATAAAGTCAGTTAATAAAAATAACACAGAAAACAAAAGATTAAACTCACATTACACATGCACCACTCAGATTGCTTCAGCTAAGTGAAAGAAAAACAAACAATAATAGAATATCATAATATATGCAACTTGGGTATAATATTAGCCAGTCCCTTTTGGCACCTGTAGTCGTATCTCAGAATATTATTATGACCCCCACCGGTTATCATTATTGACAACAATCTTTCGGCCAGACATTTCTTCATGTTTTATGCATGCTGCATATCCACGAATATTTGCAAGCCAAACAGCGTTGAAATTTCTTGGCGCATATTCTCAAAGTGTGAACGCTTCATGGAGGAGGCGAGGCGAATGGCTAAGGACGTTACTGCTTTTGGCATTGAAATTTTAACACGACTGTTAAAAGTTCACAGCTTGCACAAGTCAAGTGCCGCCAAAAATGTGCAAGCCTGAGGTTTCGCCACACCCCTGCAGCATGCTCAGCAAAAGTATGCGGCAAGTAATACACAGCATGCCATTTCCTCAACATCCTTGACCCAAACAATGCACCAAAGGCAGGCGCCAAAGAGCGACTGGGGCGAATCGACAGAAAACCTAACGACGCAAAAAAAGTTAAGTACAAATGCAAGCAAAACGAATAGACGTGATATACTCGAAAGCGACTCGCCGCGCAGATACCCCGTAAGCGTGTTGTTGGACTATTAAATTCGTTTTTATTTAAATTTAAAAAATGAGTGATATAAATAATAAAATAAGATATGTTAACAAACAACAAAAAAGTGTTTTTGGACGATGCCAACAACACGCGGTGTTCCCAAGCGGTCCCCCATCTAAGTACTAACCACGCCCGACGCTGCTTAATTTCGGTGATCAGACGAGAACCGATGTATTCAGCGTAGTATGGTCGTTGGCGAACGACGAAAGCTCAGCGTGGGATTTTGTGTAGGGCATTTTTTTAGCACACAAGTTGATTAGACTCTGTTTACTGCATTTTATAGAAGACATAAATAGCACTCAGTCAGTGCCGGCTGGTTGGGCGTTGACAATGACCAACGCCGAGCCCCCCACAGACCGAACAAGAGATAGAGACTGAGACTGCGACTGAGACAGAGGCGCAGCCAGAAGCAGAGAGACAGAGAGAAGTAGAAAGGTCTTCCACCTGGCCTCTGCCGTCATGGCGACGACGACAATGTTTTGGGTGGTTTTTGGGTGGCAAGGACGCGTGTCTCGTCGCGCCGTTTAATGGAATTGAAAATGCTGCTGCACTAGAGGGGGCAAAATAAAAAAAAATCAAAATCGATAAATTTCACTCGTGCATTATGAAAAGGTTTATGTGTGCAAATTGTTGTGGGGCTGCGAATTTCGGTTTCAACTCTCTTTTCTTCTCTCTCTCTCTCAGTCTCTTTCTCTCTCTCTCTCTCTCTCTCTCTCTCAGTCTCTTTCTCTCTCTCTCTCTCTCTCTCAGTCTCTTTCTCTCTCTCTCTCTCTCTCTCAGTCTCTTTCTCTCTCTCTCTCTCTCTCTCTCTCTCTCTCTGTCACTTTCTCTCTCTTTCTATTTGAGGGTACGGTCAGTTAGCATGTTATCAAATGACTTGCTAAAAAGTTTTTGCATATTTTATGGCCAAGTCAAGGCTCGCAACTTGAAGTGATATGAAGTTGTTCAAGCTGAACAGGTTTTTGCCAGAGCAGAGCGGAAAATAGGGAATTATGTGAATAAACAGTTGCAGCACGCAATATCTACAAGGAGGGATTGAAAAGACCGAAAATGCTGCAACATTTATGCTACATGTTTCTAGTTTTTTGTTGTATAAATAAGATATAATATTAATTATTATTATGCAAATAAAATTATAATGTTGGCAAATAATTACAATATTAAAATATTATATTTTATGACACGAATTTTTTAAATCTATAACAAACATGTTTCTTTTACTCACCTCATAATCAAACTTTAAAGTTATTGCTTCTTATCTGAAAAAAATAACGAGATTTTTAGTATATATATTTAAATTGTATATATTTACATTGGTCTTGAAACCGGTTTTGTTCTTGTAACAAAAAGTATTACGTTATTTACTTCAATAAAATAACAATAATTATGAAAGATGCAAACAGCATTTAGATCTTTCCAAGAAAAGCAAAAATAGTTTAGAGAAGGCAGCACACAACCCTTAGAACTTTTCTAAGCTTTAATTTGTACAATGAGCTTTAAGTGGCTCATTAGTTTCTAAGCTGATCAATCGGTCCTGTGGCGCAATGGATAACGCGTCTGACTACGGATCAGAAGATTCCAGGTTCGACTCCTGGCAGGATCGAAGACGTTTCTATTTTTTTCGATTTACTCAATTTTATATCAGGCATTTATACAGAGTTTTTAATTGGCTTAAGCTACTTTTTACTTCGATTTACACAGTTGCTATTGTTTTCTACATATTCAAACTGTTTCGTAACTAGTGATTATCGGCTTTACATTAATTATAGAACCCCGTCTATGTTTAGTATTTCTTCCCAGAACTCCCAGCAGCCTCCGTGGCGCAATTGGTTAGCGCGTTCGGCTGTTAACCGAAAGGTTGGTGGTTCGAGTCCACCCGGGGGCGAACTCAACTTTTTATCGCATTTACATTTTTACAAAATTTGCACGATCACATCTCGCTACAACCAGTAATAAGCTTGCGACAAGGTCATTTGTATTATATAAAACTAGTTGGGCGGCGACCCTTTAGCTCAATTTACTCGGCAAGTTGTAGGGCGAGTTTTTTTTTTGCTTCACACTTAAAACTGGCTGCAGACATAAGTGCAAGACTTATCGCTGTCGATCGTCTTTTTTGCTATTGCTATTAAGCATTTCGTCATGCGCGAAAAATGGCTTGAATAAGGGGGGAGGAAGCAAAGGGACAACTACAATGGGGCGTCAACAGCTTAACGGTGGAACTTGAGGGAACTACACTTAAACTCTGAAGATACGCTTAAAAATCAATTAATAAAAACAAGCTCCAAATTAAAAAAAAAAAGAATTTAGAACTTTTCAGCACCATATTTCCCATACCGGGAATTGAACCCGGGCCTTCCGGGTGAGAGCCGGATATCCTAACCACTAGACAATATGGGAGATGTAAGGAACCAACTCAAAGGCGCATTTGGGCGCCAGTGTTGGTAAATATAGTCGTACTAGCAGAACAAAATATATAATCTAAAATATGCCCAAACACATTCCCTACTAAGTTTGGGCGCAACTCAACCTAATGATCTCATAGATTAGAAATGATCTCAGAATTTACCAACTGTAGCTGCAACTTTAATGATATATCTCCACATATTCAAATGCTTAGTTTTACACCCTTTAAACTATTTCATTTGCATTCATACAAAAAAATTGTGCAATTGCAAATTTGCACGTTAAATATTGTGTTGTTTTTATTGTATGTCAGTGCATTAACCGCAATTTGCATAGTCAAAACAAATTAGTCGATCTCCATATAGGAAATACACATATATATCCAGTAAATGACACAAGTTTGCAAATTGCGAATGCATAGTTTTAATGGACGTATTTTTATGGCTGCGCTTTGTATGTGTGTGTGTGTGTGTGTGTGTGTGTGTGTGTGTGTTTTAAGGTTAAGTTCAGTCATTCGCCTCGTTTCATTTGATTTGCATGGCAAACTGAAACGTTTTTAATATTTTCGCTATACTCTGGTGTTGCACGCGTAGTTCTGTTATGCATTCAAATTAATGCATTTTCTAAACGTGCTCTTATTCACATTTGCATTCGATGCTGGCTTTATTATCATTGCTGTATTCGGTCTTTGTCTCTCCTTTTCTCTCTTCATATCTATCTATCAATCGCCTGCCATTGACTCTCGCATTTCATTTCAATATTCAAATCACATTTTTATTTTCCCCTGCACAGACATAAGTTTTGTATTACTCTCAAACAATGCAGTGTCGTTGTATGTGCACTCGCTGCAGCAAGAAATGCGGCTGTCAAGGTTCAATAAAGAATAAAAATCATTATATAAGAGGAGGGAAAAACATTATTCAAATAAATAGAAATAGAAAGAAAAAAGTTAATACTCGCCCAACGTGGGGCTCGAACCCACGACCCTGAGATTAAGAGTCTCATGCTCTACCGACTGAGCTAGCCGGGCTTGGTGACGATCAATGGCAATTTTCTGTAGCTAAATTTATTGCGCAGGATATCCCGTTAAAGATCGTTTTTAAAATTATTTTTAGAAATTTTAGGTCATTTCATACAGCTGGGATATCTGGCTAAATATTGACTTTTGTCAAATAGACTTTATAGTATTGGGTACACACACTCGTGCCTCGTGTTTACTCAGCTTATTCAAGGTTCCATAACACATGGCACTGGTGAGTGTACAGGTGTTATTTACATTGTTTACTTTCTATCAAAATAAAAATAACTGAAAATGTGTATTGCGATTTTATATCAACAGGTATTTTGTAAACCCTTTTTGGAAGATATTATAATTTGGTTATCAAGTTTGCATAAGGTTTATATCAATATATAAATAGGATCAATAAAATCAAATAATATATCGAACTTGCTCAATTTACATAAAGATAATTACTATATAGACAAACATAGATTCTTTAGAACTATTCTATTTTGGATAAGATTTCCACTGCAATTCCATCTGTCGAAAATTTCAGGGTCTCAACAGCTGCCCGGCTAGCTCAGTCGGTAGAGCATGAGACTCTTAATCTCAGGGTCGTGGGTTCGAGCCCCACGTTGGGCGAAAAATTAGCTTTTTGCTTGAAATTAAAAACTTCTCAAATGTGTTTTGTAAATTTATAAAACGGGGTTTGTTGCTAAATCAAACAACATATTTTTATTTATCTCATTATTTGACGAGCATAATATAACCTACCCCAACTTATTTGGCCTTGTGTCTGCTGCAGAAACTCTTGTTGCCACCGGCTGTGGCATGGAAAATGCGAAAGCAAGCGAAAGATAAAGATAACGAGCGAGTGGACACAGTGTGTGAGTGAGTGAGCGAGTATTTATGTAAGTAAGTAAGCATGTCCGTATGTTTGACAGGCATTATGCCTGGTAGGTCTAGACTTGATGCGGAGGTCGCCGAGTCGCCAACAACGACAATAAACACAAACAATTTGTCTGCACAAATAAGCTTCTGCCTTTCATTTGCTTTATGTTATGCTCCCCATTATTACTTGTTTCGTTCACAATAGAATTCGAAAGACTCTGCACATCAACCTGGCCACTAACATGATATCCTATACTGCTCACAAATTAACTTACAGTAGTACTATTTTTAGAATTAGCTTTAAGATACTTGATTGAAATAAATACTTTCACTTTGGGCAATTTGTAAGTTATCCTAGTTATAAGAGATATTTCCTTATTTTTAATAAACTTACTAAGCTATTTCCTAAAAATATCTTGCATAATTCATTATCATTTAGCGATTCATCTCGTCTTTTTTTTTAAATGATTTCATCCCTGCTACATAACATATTCATTCCGGAATGCCCGACTCTTTTGCATGTAGTGCAAGCAAGCAAGAAGCCGTCTGCCAGGCTGATTATCTTCTGCCTGCCTGCTCTCGCTCTCTCCCTCTGTCTCCCCCTCTCTTTCTCCCTCTCTCTCTTTCTGTCTGTCTGCACGTCGTCTCTTTTGCCTGTCCTGTCTGCCCACTACACACTCTCTCTCTCTCTCTCTTTCTTTCCCTCTGGTTCCGTTGTGGCTCCCTCATCGCTTCAATGTCTGAGTTTCTGTTTCAATATGCATGCCGCTGCCGCCGCTTATGTATTTTGTTTTGTTTCCTTTCGCACATTGTTTCGTTTTAATATTTTATAGCAAAATTACTTGGGACAGTCGCGGGGGCGACTGTCGGATTTTGTGATGGCTGCTCTTGCAAATGCCTTCTCCTCACAGACAACCCTAATAACCCCTTCTGAAGCAATAAAACCCTTTCGCATTGTAGCTTATATTCATCGTTGAGGTAGGCGCGTAATTTTATACATCATTTCCATTAGGAAGCAGTAAAATACACCGCACAAGAAGACAATTACAGAAAATTCGAAAGACCGAGAGAGAGATAGGCAGAGAGGGAGTGAGCAAAGCTAATCAAGCCTCCAATCTGTAGCCACAGGCATGTGCCTATAAATAACGTCTACAAAAAAAGAAAGACAATAAAAACGTGTCGCTGCCACGTACACAAAACTGATACTTTATAGGCAGATGCAGTGTTCGCCAGCTACCATCATCAAGCCCGGCTAGCTCAGTCGGTAGAGCATGAGACTCTTAATCTCAGGGTCGTGGGTTCGAGCCCCACGTTGGGCGAAAACACATTTTTTGTTGTTGTTGTGTCTGTTATCTTTTTGTGAAAATATTCACTTATAAAAATAACAAAATATGCATAGGGACTCTTTAGTATGGCATTTGTCACTTTCACATCAACTGGCCCATTAGCTCAGCTGGTTAGAGCGTCGGGCGGATAACGCGAAGGGCGCGGGTTCGATCCCCCCATGGGCCAACGAAACGGTTGGTTTTTTTTTTTTTTTTATCTTTCAGACCTTATTAAATAACTAAAGTCGTATTTGTTCATTTTGGATTTTAACGCATATTTATATGAGCAATTAAAAGATGGCAAAAAAAAAATCGATGTTAATAATTTTAAATCGCGTACAAATACATTAAAAATAAAAAATATAAAAAAAATTAAAAATCATTGGCCCATGGGGGGATCGAACCCGCGGCCTTCGCGTTATTAGCACGACGCTCTAACCAGCTGAGCTAATGGGCCATGTTAACAGTAGTTTGCCCAAAAGTTTGCTCCAGAAAACAATAGCAATATACGTTTTGAGAATATCATTACAATATTTTAGATATTAATAAAAAAAAAAACCTGATGGGACATACAAAATATTATTATTATTAGTAATCAATTCATAGCTTTCTATGGTTGCTTGCGTCAATATTGAATAACTTATAGCTACCCAAATCTAAAGGAAAATACAAAAATGGCAGATATCGTTTATTATCAAGTTTATTCAGACTTAAGCCAAATCCCATGCTGTTATACACATTTATTGCTTGTCTTACATGAATTTAAAAATGCATATGATGAAAGGAAACATTAATCTGCAAAATAAAAAAGAAGACAATCCTGGCCCATGGGGGGATCGAACCCGCGGCCTTCGCGTTATTAGCACGACGCTCTAACCAGCTGAGCTAATGGGCCATGTGAAAATCATTTTATTTGAGGGCTTTATTGACAAAGAGTTGCAACACTTATAAAAAATGAGGATCACACCATAATTATTAAAAAAAATATTAATAAATACACTTTTTAATGCCATAAATATTTACAAAATGAAAATAATATTAAATATGGTTCAAGCACATTTAAATAGTTTAAGGATCTGTGCAAAAAGATATATACTGGCCCATGAGGGGATCGAACCCGCGACCTTCGCGTTATTAGCACGACGCTCTAACCAGCTGAGCTAATGGGCCATATTGACGCCATTTTGTTTGCAGGACTTTCATAAAATAACGATTTTCTATTTTAGAAATAAACTGTCAAAAAAAAATTTATTTTGGCCCATGGGGGGATCGAACCCGCGGCCTTCGCGTTATTAGCACGACGCTCTAACCAGCTGAGCTAATGGGCCTTACGATCAGTTGCAGAATACTAGCCAAACTGAACTACTGGACACTATATATGAAAATAGAAATATGAACGATAAGAAAACTCACCTTAGTTATAAGGAAAATACTTAATGGCCAGCTAATCGAAGGGTATTATATTTCAATTATTGCACGCTTGCCCGATAGCATGTATTATAAAGAATTTATTAATCGTAAAATTAATTGAACGCTTCGATTGATTACAATTCTGCAATGACAGAGAGAGAGAGAGAGACATAAAATTAGAATAGCAAAAAAAAAATACATACATACATATTGCATCAATGAAACCACAACGAAAACTAATGAAGAAATAAAAACAAAGCAACAACAATAAGCTGACTGAAAAAAAAATGTATGCCTCGTAGATACGAGGGCGAGCAGCATATGAGAAATCAAGTGAAGTGTGTGTGTGTGCTGCGAGTGGAAGTGGAGCCGACGCAATAAATTTTCTGTGGTGTAGGTTAGGGCAAGCAGAGCACTCGCTCGCTCGCTCGCTCGCTCACACACTTGCAGCAGAGCCAGTGCAGTGACAGAGACAGAGAGAGAGAGAAGGAGAGAGGGAGAAGCCTGCAGACAACGAGGCAGCTCAACTGCATGGCCGACTGCACTAGCAGCGACGCAGACAGCGACAGCGACAGCGAGCTTCAATAGGCCGTCGGGCAGCAACTTGCAATTTACAAGAATGAGCGTAGAAACAAGCAGACAGCGAAACAAGCAAAAAAAAAAATAAGTAAACGAAGTCAAGCAATGTAAAGCACTACGTATGTATGTGTGTGTGTGCAAGGGTCGTTGAAGGAGGAAGAGCAGGAAAAGAAGGAGGGGACGCTGCTGCTGTTGCTGCTGCTGCTGGCATGGGCCGATGTCAGGGGCATGAAGTTGCAATGAAAATGAAATTGCAAGCGGGAACCTAGAGACAGACGCGCATACATTAGTAAGTGTGTATCTGTGCGTGTGTTTCTATGTGTGTGTGTGTGTTTGTGTTATATTTAGTTACTTGTGTCTGGTTCTTACTGCCTGCAATGTGGCAATTTTAGATATGTATCTGCAAGATACATTCGCAAGACTTCTCTCAGGTCCAAGCAGGCAAGCAAGCACCTAGCACCATTTTTTTTACTCTTTTTCTTCAGTTTTTCTTTTGCCTCTCTGTTCTGTTGCGCTATTTTCGCTTTCAACGAAGCTGCAACCCAAAATGGTTGACGCGTCTATTTAATGCTCCAGACTAGTTTCGCAATTGAGCAGGTTAATGGGACTATTGGGATATGCGGGCTTATAAAGAATAAAGAATAGGGCTATAAATAAGGCCTGGAATGGAGCACTGATTATTGTCGCCAATACGCATGTGTAGCCACTGAACAGTAACAAAGCCAACATTGAATTCACTTTAGCAAACTCTTAGAACAAGTTTACATTGGAAATTATTAAAAAAAAAGTTATCGACAAGTCTCGGCGTATGAAAAGTTGTATTTTCATATCTTTTGCACAATTCTTGATTAATTTAAAGCAATTGCTTAATGTAACAACAAATATTATATACAAGTGTAAGAGAATTATATAAAATAATATTTATTTTATGATTATGCCATAATAATAAACCCCTTTTAAGGAAATTAATATATCTATATTGACTATAGAGTAATTAGAACTCCATTTTTGGGGAATAATGTTATGTTCTCACTTTCCAAAAGTCTGATTGGAATAATTGTTATAAATTCTGTTTCTCTTTTTCTCATTCCAAAAGTCTGAAAAGAACGGTAGTCCCCAAAATGAATCGATAAAATTACAGAAGACAAAGACATTTACCGTTAAATTTCGATTTATTGAGAAGATCTTCTGCACCTGTTTGAAAACTGGCAACAGAGTATAAGAAATTCGATAGAATTCAACTCCAATATTCTGACTGGTTTTAGATGATTTTCAAAGCTTTCACTTGTGATTTTAGTGGCAATACGGTTATTATTAGACTTAACACATGTTTAAAGAATTGATTTTATCTGTATTTCTTTATTTATTTTTCGAGCCTGAAGTTAAATAAAAGCTGAGCACAAAAACCGATAACTATGTTAATATTTAAATCAGACTACTGTATCGTCTTCAGATATGTATCTGTCTGTGTATGTTGCTTTAATGGCCTATTCATTCACAGACAATAGACTTCCTTTTATTACCGGAAAAGTTCCATATGTAAATTTTTGAGGAAGTTCTCTTTGCAAAGTCGAGAAAACCGCAAATGTAACCAGCGTATAGATGTGTATATATGTGTGTGTAATTTAAGCTATAGTTTGGTGTGCAGGGAGAATATATTCATGTACAAAACTAAAGATATTTAGATATGTACACACTGACGCCGACGCCGTCGATTTGTTGGCCGGCGTACGTTTGTCAAAAGGGAAGTCAACAGTTCTTCTAGCAGACTATTTTAATGTGCTACAGCGTTTTTATTTATTTTTATTTTATTTTGTATTTTTTTATTTTATTTTTATTTTTTTTGTATGGCAGGCAGCACAAACAAAACAAGTCGCCAAACGAGTTAACGGAGAAGCACAAGATAGAGATGCCGACTAAAAGACAGCAATAAAGAGCGGGAGAGAGAAAGAGACACAGAGATCGAGTGAGGAAAAGGGAGGAAGAGGCAAAGAGAGAGGGTGAAGGCAGCGGCAGCAGGTCGCTTCGCGCTTTTCTGCTGCTGCCAGTGTGTGGAGGCCTACAGACACACACACACACACTCAAAGTTAGCGCCAAAGCAATAACAGCGTGACCGTCGCATAGACGTAGACAGCAACCAGTGTTGCCGCCGCGTTGCAGATTTTCTGGCTGTAAGAATTTACAGAAATTCGTATGGCGTGATTTGTTTTTTTTTTCATTAAAAAACAATAAAGACAAGAAATATATGTCAGTTTTCATAAAATAGAAATTTGAAAAATATCATAGTATGTTAATAAATAAATTAATAATATGAGTAAATAAAAATAAAAATGTAGCTTTTTTAACATTAAATCGCCTTTTTTAGCCTCACAAAAGTTGGCAACACCGATAAGCAGCGCAAGAGCGCAAGAGAAATAAATATATCGTATCATACACACACACACACAAAGAGAGACGCACACACACGTAGATGTTTACATACATATGTAAATGGAGAAACGACAGCTAAACAAACAGCAACAACAATAACAGAATCGGCGTCTGCTTAGCCCTAGCCCCAATCTTTGTGCTTTTCGCTTTTTTGCTTCTATGCCGCTTTGCCCTCTCATTCTTCTTATTCTCGTTAAATTTTTCGTTTCAATTTCGTTTCGTTTCGTTTGGTTTGGTTTTGGGCTTTGGCGCTGCTTGCTTGTGCCGAAGCAGAAGCAGACGATGAAAACAAAAAAGTATGTGAAAAAACAGAATAGGCAACTCGAAGAACAAAACGCAAAGAAGTGCAAGAAGAAGACGACGAAGTGGAAGCAGCAGCGGCAGCAAATCGTATACATTTTAACATTGGTAAGCGGGATGGGGGGATGGGAGGCCATTGTCGGCATTTTTAACTGCACTTACCTTTAAAAACATTTATAGCCTGCATTTGCATTTATTTAATATTTATTTATTATTGCACACGCACTTACACAATACACACACACAAAACACGAACACACGGCCAACACACACACTCTTTTCTATACATATATATATATATGTATATTTATTTTGTTATAAGCAATTTGTTGTATGTGGGTATATATTTTATATTATTATTATTTTTTGTTGTTGTTGGGAGGTTCCTCTTTATGTTTTCGTATCTCTTTTTATGTTTCGCTTTTGCTTACGTCGCGCGCACGTTCAACTGTTAAGCGTTCAGTTCAAATGCGTCGTTGATTTTGTGCCGCCACTGAACTGCACATATTGAGTGCCAAAGAGAGACTGAAGCGAACTTTTTTTGTTGACGCCAAGAAGCAGTTGCTGCTGGCGCTGCTGTTGCAGACGCTGAGACGACGTCACTCTGTGTGTAGCTACAGCGGGAGAGCCAAGAGCGTTACTATGTTAAGTGTGCAAATTAATATGCACTTGGATATATTTATATATACTTTTGAACTTATACATGGATACATTAAATATAAGCCAATCTGTTAAAAAAAATAATTGTGGGTTAAAATTACATACATTATTATTTTAAATGTTATAAGTAATGTAACAAGCTTGAAGTAAATAGCACTGCTTGTTGTGCTGCTTGTTTCATTTGAGAACACAAGTAACACAGGTTTGTCTCTTAAATGGTTTTGTGGTTGACGAGTTCTATCGGGTCCTGTGGCGCAATGGATAACGCGTCTGACTACGGATCAGAAGATTCCAGGTTCGACTCCTGGCAGGATCGAATTTTTTAATGTGTAAATTATTTTTTTCTATTTATCGTTTGTTTATTTATCTTGTTCTGATACAAATTGAAATATTTTACAAACCATTTATTGTTCTATGGAACTGTTCTTTATTGAACTGCTTGGAATAGTGCGATTTTGCCCGAGATTCAACCGACCGGTCCTGTGGCGCAATGGATAACGCGTCTGACTACGGATCAGAAGATTCCAGGTTCGACTCCTGGCAGGATCGCATTTTTATATATTTTTTATCCGAAATACAGGCTTTTATTTTTTGTGGAAGTAGAAGAATCAGTTTATAGTTTTTGTAAGTGAACAATGTTTTCTTATTGTTCAGAGATTAATTACTACAGTTCTAAGTTGAAGTAACAACATATTGTGTTGTTTGCAGTGTTGAGAAACGCCTCCCATATGGTCTAGTGGCTAGGATATCTGGCTTTCACCCAGAAGGCCCGGGTTCGATTCCCGGTATGGGAAGATTATTTTTCTTTTATTTTTGCAACTATAATTAATTCCGATTATTTTTAAATGGAGGAAAATTGTAATTTGTATTTGGAGTAACACTAGGAATTCAACGCTAGTACATTACAACTAACTTACCTACCGGTTCTGTCTGCCATCAGTTGTCAATGTCACAAATGCACAATTGCATATTCTTCGTTTGCAGTTGTTTGCTATTATGCAAATCAGATTGAATAAGAAGTTGTTTCCCACACACACGCATATAAGCACAGTTCTTCAACAAAAATCATTTGAAGATGTCACCTTAAATGTCCTTGGTTTGTGGGATTTGCAAACGCAGCTGCCACTTACCCATTTGTAACTTTCCCCCATCCCTTTGTCAATGGCCACTTTCTACATTTCCTCTGTTTAGCATAAGGCGACACATAATCCACACACTCCACACGATGCCACTTGATTTGCTTTTTAGATATCGCAGCTCAACTTTACTAGCAGAAGGAGCTGGAGGAGGAGAATATGAAGTAGACCTCGTGCCTCGGGTACTAAGGCAACGTCATCTTCCCCTTTCCCGGCGCCTTCTGTGACCCACCATGCCTTTTTCAAGTGCATCATGCAACAAAAATAACAGCATATTTGCAGCACGTTCCCAATACGCATATAAATTCTCTAGCACGTTCTGTGTGTGGATTTAAAGAGCGCGAAACTGCTCTAAGTTGATGGAATAAAAAAAGATATAGAAAAATAAAAACAATTCGATCCTGCCAGGAGTCGAACCTGGAATCTTCTGATCCGTAGTCAGACGCGTTATCCATTGCGCCACAGGACCACATGTAAGTCGGGTGCCATAATCGTATTAATTACGGCTAACATTGTCGTCTCAAGTTCGTAAACTGCCTTATCGATATGAGGTAAGCAGTTCATTTGATTAAGAAATAATTGATACATGACAATAGCTTCTTAACATTATTGTTACATTCTGGAATACAGTTGCACATTTGCTTACAGTGTATGTATGTTATGCATATGGACTCATGTTAGTTTAAGTACGCTTCTGCGCCGCGCAAAATCATCTCCCATATTGTCTAGTGGTTAGGATATCCGGCTCTCACCCGGAAGGCCCGGGTTCAATTCCCGGTATGGGAAAACACGAATACTCAGTTTCTTCGGGGGTTAATTTTTTTTTACATTTTTTTTTTTTTTTAATTTTGATTGTGATATGCATTTTCTAGTTAGTTGTTGTTGCTGAAGCAAATTTAGCGCTTAAAAGCAGACCAGCAAATTTAATTTGCAAAGTCACCGAGTACAAGCAAATTTGTATTATCAACGAAAGAAAATACCGACTGATAATGACTTGACGATTCCCATTTCGGCTATAAGTTGTCGGCAAATTCGTTAAATCAGCCAGTCACCGCATGCATGCGAAGCTGAAAACATGTCTACTGAAGTACTTTTGTTGATCGCCTCGCTGGCGATCATATTTTATGTCTGGCAACGTCGCGCGTTTAACTTCTGGCAGCGATTGGGCGTTAAACACATTCCGCCATCGCCCATAATTGGAAATTTGAACAGCTTATTAACCGGTCGAGCTTCGTTCTTAGAGCAGATAAGCTTGCTGCACAACACAAAAGGCTTTGAGAATGAACCCGTTGTCGGAATTTATCTGTTCAATCGTCCCGGTCTACTCGTTAAAGATCTTGATCTGGTCAAAACTATTATGATCAAGAAATTTAACTATTTCGTAAATCGCGCCATGAAAACCGATCATCATCACGATGTCCTCGGTACTAACAACATCTTCTTTTTGCACGGTCAGCCATGGAGGGATTTGAGGTATAAGTTGTCGCCATTCTTTACCAGTGGCAAAATGAAGCAAATGTATCCATTGATGGTCGAGGTGAGTTTAACACACATCATCCATCCGTTGCACAAAGATTTCAATTTCCGCTGCATTCATTTACGGCACAGATTGGCAAAGATTTGGAAAAGTATTTGGATAAATTGCCAAAGGGTTCGATGCTCAAAATCAAGGATGTTTGCGGTCGTTTCACAACCGATCTTATAGCGACCACAGCATTCGGCCTGAAGGCCAATGCGTTGGGCAGTGCGAAAAATGAATTTTATGAAAATAACAAAGCCATTTTCCAAGTGAGCCTGCGACGTGGCATTGATTTTGCCATTATATTTGCGCTGCCGATGCTGGTCTCGTTGGCACGCACCAAACTCTTCCCCAAACAAACCGCCGATTTCGTGCGACGCATTATCAAATATGCGCTGGATGAGCGCGAGAAGTCGGGTCAGCGTCGCAATGATCTCATTGACATATTGCTGGCGATGAAGCATGAGGCAAAGTCGGATAAACCATTGGATTTTGATTATCTTGTCGCACAGGCAGCCCTCTTCCAGACGGCTGGCTATGAGACGAGTGCCTCGACCATGACAATGGCCCTCTTCGAGCTGGTCCATCATCCGGAAATGCAGGAACGTTTGCGCACAGAGATTCGCGAATATTTTGGCGATAAGCAGTCCATTGATTTTGATGGCATTCATCAGATGCCCTACCTCAATCAAGTGGTGAACGAGACGCTGCGAAAGTATCCAATTGTTGGATATGCGGAGCGTGAATGTGTCCAACCGGCGACCGGAGAGAAATTCAACCTGGCCCCGTACTACGACCTGGAGTTGCCACATGGTACACCCGTCTATGTCGCCACCCTGGCCATTCATCGTGATCCCCAGGTTAGTTTTGTAGTATTTAATATTCAATTTAGTATTTAGTACTCAACTCATATTTCTATTCATTCTTATCGACAGTACTGGCCGGATCCGGAGAAATTTGATCCGGATCGTTTTGCGGCGGAGAACCGGGATAATCTCAATATGGATGCTTATATGCCGTTTGGCATCGGGCCACGCAACTGTGTTGGGATGCGTTTGGGTCTGCTGCAGGCCAAATTGGGTCTGGTTCATCTGCTCAGGCATCATCGGGTGATCAAGGACGAGAAGACCACCAGCTTAGCAGACTTTAAGCTTTGTAATTTTAGTGCTGTGATAGCGCCAAAGGACGAAATCTGTTTGCAACTGCAACGCACTTAGTTCCAAGAGAGATTTCTGAGAGATCCCAAAGTGGGATCGTTGAACGTTAACTAATTTTTTGTTACTAAACTTGAAATTGGATTGCAATTTGATTGTTTTTTAATTCTAGCAAAACCTGTTTGTTGATAATAAAGCTACGTAATGCAATTGAATAATTGAATAATGCGCAGTAAAACATTGTCAAGCATTTATAGCATGTCTCAAGTTGATAGGTCGAAAGACGTGTTGTGTTTGCACAACTTTTGAGCTTATCAAGCTAACAATAAATACGCAAATGAGTTTATAGAATGCAGCTATAACCAATAGATGAAGTATCTGATTATAATAATTAAATGCAGTTTCTTAATCACAGCAAGCCAGATTACTCAATCAATCAAAGAAAGGCTAAGCATTTGGATTTAGTTGGTAGTTGCACAACAATTGCGCCATTTAACCTTGTCCTTATCGAAGCTGCAAAGAGGAAAAGGGGGGGGGGGGGGGGGGGATGGAAACTCGTGCGTGACATGGCAAGGATGCCCCGTGGACAATTATCCTTCAGACAAGCTGTTTGCAACCTCGAAGCAAATGTGTCATAAATGTGGTTAGCTGCACAAAACACTTGCAGCAATTGTTTGCTGTTATTGTTGTTGTTGTTGTTGTTTCGCTGTTGCAGCAAAAAACTTTCTGACGCATAAAAAGCATTCCCGGCTAACAGCTGTGAGTCCTTGTAATATCCCTGTGCCAGCTTTGTAGTTGTTCTTCTCATTGTTACTGAGAGCTGAAGCACTTAACACACTTAATACAATTGTCAATTTACCATAAACGGAGTGCGGAGCGCCAGAAAGCTACTCAGCTGTTAGCATCCCAGCCACATAATGCGCTTCTAACGTGGCTAATTTGAGCTGAGTCGCATTTCTCTAGCATCGTTCACATTTTTGTTTGCTTCTGAGAACTGATTGCAAATACAATTTATCATGCAAATAGGCGTTTTCTAGACTAAGTAAATATTACTTACTCAACTGCCTTTGAACAGACGAACTTCTTATTAGGCTTTCGTGACTTTTAGTTTGTTATTCAAAAGTGCAAACATATATTTAATGATGTGAAGCTTATATACACATTTCTGGCACGATATCGGAGACATTTTCATCAATCAGATTGAGGGATTCATTCTAAACGTCTGATATTCGTTAACGATCTTAGTATGATTAATAGTAATTATTGTTATTATTCCTTTTTTTTAAATAGGTTTATTTTTAGGACTTTGTCCCAGCTGAAAACAAACTGAGTGGCAAATTTGTGTCTTCTTTTGATTCTTTCTTTTGATATTTCATATATTTATAGGTTTCTTAGCTTTTCTTTTCTTATAATCTATCTCTTTAATTATTTCATTTATCATTTTCAATTAATGTTTGTTTCTTTCAGAAAATAAGTTGCCTTATCGCCGGGTACAGATTACTCATAATAATAATACCATTCAATGCTTGTATAGCTTGGTGTTCCCAACAATCTGTGAGTACCAAAAGTATCTCAATAATATTGTGTGTTAAACTAGGGATTCACAAGTAGATATTACCAACTACCAAATATATAATCCCACTCTAAGGGTGGGTCTATCGCCAACGACCATACTACGCTGAATACATCGGTTCTCGTCCGATCACCGAAATTAAGCAGCGTCGGGCGCGGTTAGTACTTAGATGGGGGACCGCTTGGGAACACCGCGTGTTGTTGGCATCTGTCCAAGAACACTTTTTTGCTTGTTGTTTGATACACAACAGAAATTAAGTTATTTTTTATTATGTTTTTCTTATTTCTGCTTACGATTTATTGTCTTCGATTTCAACTTGTATATTTAAAATATGCGTTTATTTTATTATTACTGATTATAGTTGGACAATTCGGCAGCTAGGTCAATAAATTTGGATTAAAAAAGAACTTACGACACTGAGTACAGATACATGTTACACCTAACTAATATATTGAAAAATCTGTAACTCAAACGTAGGTCAAAATTTAAACAATTTAAGCCAAATGAATTTGTAATTGGTTCTTGGAGACAAATAGTTTATATACATTTGTTGACATAGCTCGACTTCAGATGACTATATTCTAACAATAATTGGATACTATTATCCCGTCAAAGATTAAAGAGATAACTTTATAGTTTTTCAGTTCTAAATTTGGTGGATATTATTTGGATATTATGAAAACTGAGTAAACTGAGTCAGCTTTTAAGGTATTCTCTAAGTCAAGGACTCTCTTCTTTGCCCAGTAGGTTGAAGATTGTTTCCCCTATTTGCCTTTGATAACATTGAGTTGTGCATTTTCCAACCGAATTGCGTCCTTTCTTACGTAACAACATCAAAATCAACGTGGAAAAAATGCGGAATGACATAAAATTAAATGATATACTGCATTTAAGCCAATTTACAGTTGACTTGTTCTTAGGGAGGCATTGGGCTATAAGGGAGAGGGTTGTAGGGGGGGCTGCAAGTGCGGCAACAATTCGCAATGACTTTGCACTGACCTTGTGGGTGAAAAGGGCCACAACGAAAGCAAAAACCAAATACGAAATACATTTACCGATTCAACTTATTCTCTCCCCATGTGCTATTGAAAAGTACGCGTAAGTCGCACGCGATATTTATACCCTATACATGTTGATATACGAACAGGGTATACTGGAACTGGCAGACTAATTTGTTCTTTCATTTCAACTTTAATGGATGGATTAGAAGAGCATTCAGTTTGTTTGTGTGGAGAGCAGCTAGATTAGATATCGATTTCAATCGTTCCTAACTCTTAAAACTATCAGCATCAGTATATATCTATAACTTAAGCTATTCATTCATTTAATACTTGATATGCCTTGGGTAACTTCCAGTCATTATTTGTCTACTTTTGGGTTATTTGGGTTAGTATCAAAGTTTTGTTACCTTCAATTCGCATTACGAACGTATTCATTTTTATTGAATTGCATTGGCAAAAATGCCATCGAACAACAAAATCCACTCAACGACAGACATTTCAAGTTTTACAATTTTTTGGGGTCTTTTCTTATGCACCTGCACAGCATATAATATATATGTATATGATAATAATTGACACAAGCAACTACGCATAACTGGTGTGCTGGTTGGCCATTAGTTTTAATTAGCCCCACTGTGCAGTGAATTGCATTCCGCTAGATTAACCATCGTAAAAGCCAAAACGGCGACTGAGACTCAGATAAAGCTTCGCCTTGGGCGAAAATTGCATGCAAATTGACATTAAATTAATAAACACGCAAATTGCATCGTTTTTTCGTGGCCAGCAACGGGGATGTGGATTCTTCAGCATTGCTCTAATTAGATGGAAACTTTACCCCACAACCTTGTCTTGCCACATCAAGCATTTTGTTAATTAAAGAGAGAGCACCCCTCGCTAATGTCTCCTACTTTGACGGCACATTGACTAAAGCAAATCAAGAACAGCAAATCTAACATCGTCAAGCCGAACACTTGTTGCTCTTCCAAACTGAGTTGATATTCAAAAGAAGTCACTTTATAGTATTTGGTTTGGTATCTAGATTATAAATGCATATAAATACAAATCTGGAAACTTGATTCTTCATGTAAAAAATCATATTCACTTTTAGCTCGACCAGATTTGAATTAATTTTCCAATAGAACTATATTTTTGTGAATGTTTTGAGCTCAAGATCAATACTGTATTTTAATCTGGAAACACTTTGTCAAAAAAAAAACAGATTTTCCAATGCAATATATATTTGTAAATGGTTTGACCACTAGATCAATACTGCAAAGAAATCTGTAAACACGATTCCTGGTCGATATTCTATACAAAAACATAGCATTTTGGGAAAATTCCCCTTTTCGAAATGCGCTAAATTTGTCACTGCTCAATCGATGGTTTTTTGGTCATAGTCATTTTCTGCAAGGGTATTCTGAATAGAAACATAAAAGCGCTATAAAATCTTAATGAAACATTAGATTTTGTTGCACTGATTTGGCAAAGAAACTTCTCAGCCAAGGGGCCAGCGAGTAAAGAAGGACAAAGGGTCACTGGTTATGTAATGCAAATTAAATGAGTGGCGATTGCCTTAGCAAAACTAACAGAAACTAAAACAATTGAAAGCCATTTGTGAAGCAATTATATCTACATTAAATACACAAATAATATTTTTGAATGCAAATATTTAGTTTAATATATTTTTCAATTTTCCATCACCAAAATCTAAGGATGATAGAGTAATTGTGAATTAGCCTCCTGCGCCGGCTGTTGACGGGCATTTCTTTTGACACAAAAAGTAATGCTCAGTTCTACAGTTATCGGTGTTCCATTAGCCAATCAATCCAAATTATCGTCAGGTGTAGTGGCTGGTGACGGGCATTTCTTTTGACACAAAAAGTAATGCTCAGTTCTACAGTTATCGGTGCTCCATTGGCCAATCATTCCATTTAGGGTCATGCAATAGTTGGTGTTGGTTCTTGGAGTATTCTGGAAATTGTTATAGCTCACACGGGCTCCCGAGCTATGCCACGTATACTGGCTGACTGCTGCCTGATTTGTGCCCGAGGTCCAAATTGGTTCCGAATTAAGTGTCGGCAAAATAAACGGGTCGACTTTGGCTCGAATAAATGCCATTATTGCCGCCTGTTCAGTAGATGATGGAATGCTGGCGAGGGTGAATTCCTGAGAAGCACAATATTGCTCAGCCTGAAACCAATTCATCTATAAAACGGAAAAAAATTGAAAAATTAGACAATTACAAAAAATTAGATGTTAAAAACGTTAAATATTTTGATTACCTTATACAGACTTAAGCCATAGTTTGCATCTGCAAGTGCTTCTGTATCGACATACGTAAAAAGGTTTATTATTGGCAGAGCCTCTGTTTCGTTCTGCGGCGGAATTGGAGGATCTTGAATAGCCGTATCCTCAGCCCATGCCAGCACCGTGCAGCAGAGCAAACCGAGTAGAGCGAAACCAAGAGACTTCATTTTGTGAAGAGTCCTACGAGTTGTCGACCCTTTTATACCATTTGCCTATGTGAAAACTAATTGCTTAATGCATCCATCATTGTCATTGTCAACTAAATCAATTATTTGAAATACCTAAGACTTTGAGTAAATGCATTTACACAGCCCGTCGAATAAGTATTTAGACTTTAAAATGAAATTCAGCAGATGTCGGGTCTATCATTAGGTGTAAGGACAATCGTCAAAAAATACTAATTTTGGAATTTGTTAATTTATTTAATTCCAAATAATTGATTCCTTTGAGTAGCAGCTTTGATTTACGAATTGGAAATACTAATAAACGAATATGTTTATATATGTATGCCTTGTCAACAAGGCTAACTAGGGGTAAAATCGAATAGAAAGAAATGATGTAAAGATGCATTGTGTTTGGAATAAGATGCATTTTCTGCACGCCATAAAACGAAAGCTAAGCGTTGGCTCAGCAATTGACGACCTTCGTTTAACGTGCTGTGAAAATGGCCACAAGGCAATGGAGAACAGGAGGGACACACCCACACTGGAGCACATCCTGCTGCTTCCCCGTTAACTCACAAGCATGTCGCATAAATTAAGTGGTAGCAACAGCCACAGCAGCAACAGCAGCTATTGGTCCTTTTGCCTTAGAGCCGGAGCCGGAGCCAGAGACAGAGCCAGGACACGCTTTGGCGCATTTATCCTGCGTGACTTTTGTTGTCAGTTTTGTTTTTACCCCTCTGCTCAAGCATTGACTTTGTCGTCCGCGTACTTTGCTCTCTCAATTTCCTGCTGCTGTAGAGAATTTAATTGCCATTTATCCAGCATCGCAGCACCAAGCCAAAGACAAATAACCAAAGCTAATAGATCATGTCATCTTGTCAACAAGTTTTACAATCTAATTGCGCGCATTCAACATGAGCAAACAGCCATCGCTTAATTTATACTACAATCGAGAGGAGGGATAACTTTTGCTCAGCGATTGATTTTCTTGAGGATACAAAAAAGTAATTGAAGAAAAAATACTTCCTTATTGAAATTTCAGTCCAATGATATTCACCGTTGGTCCTTTAAACGCATGAGTGATCGCACCGTTAACTGCCCGGCTAGCTCAGTCGGTAGAGCATGAGACTCTTAATCTCAGGGTCGTGGGTTCGAGCCCCACGTTGGGCGAGAGTAGCTTTTTTTTAATTTTGGTGTTTTATATATATTTTTTTAATTTAAATGCTTTTATTAGATATTATTTTTTTTGATTAAGACAGATTTTCTTTATAATTAAAAATATATTCTAAAAAATAATTCGATCCTGCCAGGAGTCGAACCTGGAATCTTCTGATCCGTAGTCAGACGCGTTATCCATTGCGCCACAGGACCCACATGATTTCCGATCTTGTTTGTAATATAGAATATTTGATATCTTAAAATAGTTTATAGTACACAAACATCGAAAAGTTTTGAAAGTTGGTTCGCAATCTAAATTTGAATCTTAAACATAACCAACAAAAAGATATTATTTGTGAGGCTCTTAAGACTCCAAACTTTGAGATGCGTTGAAGTATTTTCCCTTCTGTTTGACCTTGCACACAAATAGAACAAGTAACTTTGATGCTTCCTTGGCAAATGCAAATGGCATGCAATTCAAAAAGAAACAGAAATCATATTATCCATACGCCCCATGTACACCAGGAGGAACACCAGCAGCAGCAGCAGCAGCAATTTTTGATTTTATATCTTGGTTCAACCCTCGAAAAGAAAAAATTGAAAAAATGAATACAACGATCTGTGCTTGCACATTTCGTTTGTGTTGTGTCCAATCCCAATGGGACTCGTAAACACTTTGGACAGCAAAAAAAAAAAAAAAGAAGAAAATGAAAAGTATAAGGAAAATGCACATTGAGCGGGGAAGGGTGAAAAGTTACAGCTAGAAAAGAGGGTGCCCCAGCAAAGTGCTGTGGCATTTGCCAATCCTTGACCCGTCATAATGTCGCCCCCTTCTGACAGCAAAGTTAAATGAGATATGCTTTTTACATTTTTTCGATAAATTTCCACATTTCCTGGCACCCCAATGCTTCTGGGCACTGGATAACATTATTAGCGAAAACTTTACCATAAAAATGGCAAACGGATTTGCGCAACGCTTAAAATTGAGATTTACTGTAAGCGCAATTTATGGCCAACAACAAAAAAAAATCCCTTCGCTGCAAATGCAAAAAAAAAGAATAAATATTTAAGGGGAAAAATGCATTTAGTTTTGTGGCTTATCAAATGACATTGATGAATGCACCCTGCAATTAGCTACAATTTGGGTTTAGCCCTATAAAAGGGAAGACAAAGCGTTTGTTTTATATTCACAAAATGAAGTCAATTTGCGTCGGTCTTCTTTGTCTGCTCGGCTGCACGGTGCTGGCATGGGCTGGAGAGCCTCCAGAAGCAGATGTGAAACCGGTTTTATTTTACGAGGATACAACTGCAAATCTAATACTGTCAAGTATTATCAAGGTAAAATGATGATATTCTTATACGAAATATGACTAAATAAGTCTTTAATCCCCAGCTTAATTGGTTCCAAGCACAGGCCGCCTGTGCTTCCATGGGAGCTCATTTAGTAAGCTTTGCAAATCAAGAAGCTCAAAATGCGGTAGTCACTTTTCTTATAGCATCCGGGTTATGGAATGAACTAACCGAACCACTTTGGACTTCGGGCTCGAATCTTGCCAATGCCAGAGAATGGATGTGGCTTGACACGGGCAAACCTATGACGTATCGCAATTTCAGAACTCAACCGAGTACCTCATATAATTGCGTTGGATTTAACGCTCAAACCTCCTTCTGGACCGCTGAGAGTTGTAATACTCTGCGTTACTTTGTGTGCAAAAAAACAGCATATACTTGTGAATAATAACACACAGACATATCTACAATATAATATAAAAACATATATTTGGTGGTGGGTTATTAAAATATAATAAAATTACTGATTGCAAACCGAAAAATACGTTTGTTAATTTTGCGGATGGAACTGTTAAATTTATGTTGTGATGTGCACATGGAAGAGTATGTATCTGCTCCCAAAGAAGTATTTATAATTTTAATCGGCATTCATATAGACATTTTAAAAAGTCTCAGTGAATCAAAAGGCTTACAGGAGGAGATAATTGCTTTCCAGGAAAGTAGCTTAATCCCGGCCATATCTTTGCATATTTTTGTTAATGATATCGTTGTAAGGATCACAGGAACTAACTCAAATGGTTAGCAATCAAGGTCTATGGATCAAAAACACAAAATCATTGATTATAAAATGGATGCCTTTCCGAAATCCATAAGAAAATGACCGAGAAATGACAAAACTAAATGTCTTTCCTTTAAATAAAAGCTACATTTTTGTTAGTTAGGATTGCAAGGTTCCGCGTTATCAAACTGTTATGGGGTCTTCAAGGGTATCCTATGCCATAAGATTTTTTACAGATCTAAAAAGATCCTGAAGTTTAGTAAGTCCTTTGGAGTCCCAGATAGCTCACAAACTTTTAGCGTGATTTGAATATCCTTTCCCGTCCCGACACTTGACATCCATCTAAGTAAAAAATAGAATGCTCTGAAATGAGAGTACTTCTTATTTGATTTTAAAATTTAGTTACTTATTTCGCCTGGCTGTGTAAATGTGTTTATTTGACGACTTAAGCAATTAATAGTAATTGATTTAGTTGACAATCACAATGATGGATGCATTAAGCAATTAGTTTTCACATAGGCAAATGGTATAAAAGGGTCGACATCTTGTAGGGCTCTTCACAAAATGAAGTCTCTTGGTTTCGCTCTACTCGGTTTGCTCTGCTGCACTGTGCTGGCATGGGCTGAGGATACGGCTATTCAAGATCCTCCAATTCCACCGCAGAATGAAACAGAAGCTCTGCCAATTATAAACTTATTCAGTTATGCAACCACCGGCACCACACCACCATTATATGGCTTAAGTCTGTATAAGGTAATAACAATTTGTATTATTTTCAACATTTGTCTGATTATTCATTTTTTTTCTTTCGTTTTTTAGATGAATTGGTTTCAGGCTGAGCAATATTGTGCTGCTAATCAGTACACCCTCGCCAGCATTCCATCATCTACTGAACAGGCGGCAATAATGGCATTTATTCAAACTGAAGTCAAGGACATAACTGAGCTGTCGTCACTTTTTACGGAGCCAATGTGGACCTCGGGCACAAATCAGGGAGCAGGCAGCTACTATATGTGGCAAGGCACGGGAACCCGTGTTGGGTATAACAATTTCCAGAGTACTCCAAGAGCAAACACCAACCATTGCTTGACCCTAAATGGAATGACTGGCCAATGGAGCACCGATAACTGTAGAACTGAGCGTTACTTTTTGTGTCAAAAAGAAATGCACATAGTAAATCCCATACTTATTGACATTTGCCCTATCATCTTTATATTTTGGTGATGGCAAATTGAAAAATATATTAAACTGAAATAGTTGCATTCAAAAATATTATTTGTGTATTTACTCTGGGAACACATAAATTTCCAGTGGAATGTGGTTATATATTAAGAATATATAAATACTTCATAAATGTTAGTCACACAAAGCAACAAAAAATATCTTTTTGCCTTTCTCTTAAAGACTCCCAAAAAGTATATATAATCTTGGTCGGCATTTATATAGACATTTTAAAAAGTCTCAGTGAAATCAAAAGGCTTACAGAATACTTTTGGGAGATAATTGCTTTTCAGAAAAGTAGCTTAATCCCGGCCATATCCTTGCATATTTTTGTTAATGATATCGTTGTAAGGATCACAGGAACTAACACAAATGGTTAGCAATCAAGGTCTATGGATCAAAAACACAAAATCATTGATTATAAAATGGATGCCTTTCCGAAATCCATAAGAAAATGACCGAGAAATGACAAAACTAAATGTCTTTCCTTTAAATAAAAGCTACATTTTTGTTAGTTAGGATTGCAAGGTTCCGCGTTATCAAACTGTTATGGGGTCTTCAAGGGTATCCTATGCCATAAGATTTTTTACAGATCTAAAAAGATCCTGAAGTTTAGTAAGTCCTTTGGAGTCCCAGATAGCTCACAAACTTTTAGCGTGATTTGAATATCCTTTCCCGTCCCGACACTTGACATCCATCTAAGTAAAAAATAGAATGCTCTGAAATGAGAGTACTTCTTATTTGATTTTAAAATTTAGTTACTTATTTCGCCTGGCTGTGTAAATGTGTTTATTTGACGACTTAAGCAATTAATAGTAATTGATTTAGTTGACAATCACAATGATGGATGCATTAAGCAATTAGTTTTCACATAGGCAAATGGTATAAAAGGGTCGACATCTTGTAGGGCTCTTCACAAAATGAAGTCTCTTGGTTTCGCTCTACTCGGTTTGCTCTGCTGCACTGTGCTGGCATGGGCTGAGGATACGGCTATTCAAGATCCTCCAATTCCACCGCAGAATGAAACAGAAGCTCTGCCAATTATAAACTTATTCAGTTATGCAACCACCGGCACCACACCACCATTATATGGCTTAAGTCTGTATAAGGTAATAACAATTTGTATTATTTTCAACATTTGTCTGATTATTCATTTTTTTTCTTTCGTTTTTTAGATGAATTGGTTTCAGGCTGAGCAATATTGTGCTGCTAATCAGTACACCCTCGCCAGCATTCCATCATCTACTGAACAGGCGGCAATAATGGCATTTATTCAAACTGAAGTCAAGGACATAACTGAGCTGTCGTCACTTTTTACGGAGCCAATGTGGACCTCGGGCACAAATCAGGGAGCAGGCAGCTACTATATGTGGCAAGGCACGGGAACCCGTGTTGGGTATAACAATTTCCAGAGTACTCCAAGAGCAAACACCAACCATTGCTTGACCCTAAATGGAATGACTGGCCAATGGAGCACCGATAACTGTAGAACTGAGCGTTACTTTTTGTGTATAAAGAAATGCACATAGTAAATCGCATACTTATTCACATTTGCCCCATCATCTTTATATTTTAGTGATGGCAAATTGAAAAATATATTAAACTGAAATAGTTGCATTCAAAAATATTATTTGCGTATTTTCTCTGGTAACACATTAATTTCCAGTGGAATGTGGTTATATATTAGGAATATATAAATACTTTATAAATGTTAGTCACACAAAGCAACAAAAAATATCTTTTTGCCTTTCTGCTCCCAAAAAGTATATATAATCTTGGTGCATTTATATAGACAGTTTAAAAAGTCTCGGAAAATCAAAAGGCTTTCAGAATACTTTTGGGAGATAATTGCTTTTCAGAAAAGTAGCTTAATCCCGGCCATGTCCTTGCATATTTTTGGATCTGCGTTGTTAAATTGTTATGTCTTCAAGAGTAGCCAATGCCATATGATTCTTGATGGATCTAAAAAGATCTGGAAGGTTAGCAAGTTCTTTGGAGTCCCGGATAGCTCGCAAACTGAAAGGGTGATTTGAATGTGCTTTCGCCAAATCATAAACCCGATATTTGACAACCGGGGAAAATCGGAAATATAATGCTCTGAAATTAAAGTAAATGTCTGGCTATGTATATGTATTTACTAAAAGTCTTGGGGCATTAATAGTAATTGATACAGTTGAAAATGACAATGATGGATGCATGGAGCAATTAGTTTTCACGTAGGCAAATGGTATTAAAGGGCAGACAACTCGTAGGGCTTTTCACAAAATGAAGTCTCTTGGTTTCGCACTACTCGGTTTGCTCTGCTGCTCGGTGCTGGGATGGGCTGATGAAACTACGGATGGTACCACTCCACCATCATCAACCACGGAAGAAGGAACGTCGGATGATGAGAACTCTTTCAACTACTTCAACTATAAAGACACCACGTATGCCTTAAGTCTGGACAAGGTAATCAACATCTTTATGCTTTTCAACATATGAATAATTATTTCGTTATTTAGCGTAATTGGTTTGATGCTCAATGCTACTGCGCTTCTCATGGTTACACCTTAGCCAACATTCCGACACCCAAAATTCAGATGAGCATAATGAAATTTATTTATAGCATTGACTTTTCTGATTTGATTTCACTTGTTCTGGCGCCAATTTGGACATCGGGCACAAATCGGGCAGCAATCAAGCAATACACGTGGCATAGCAGTGGAGCCCGCGTGGGCTATAGCAATTTCCGAAGAAATCCACAAGGAGAGGAATACGATTGCATCGCAATAAATGGAATCACTGGTTACTGGAGCAACGTGAACTGCACAGACTCTCGCTACTTCTTATGCGAAGTGAAATGCCCTAAAGTTGAAGCCTAAAGCAGATGTCTAATTTTATGAATTCTGGCAATTTTATAAAGTTCCATTTTGCAATCAGAAATCAAATTTGTAAGACATTAATTTCCAATAAAGAAGAGTTGTGGATAATGTATAAATTATGAAGTTAAAGATACCCTTTTACAGGACTAGTTAAATGAATACTAATAATAAGTATACCAATCCCAAAAGAGTAAAATAAAAGTGTCCAACAAACATTTCTTCCATTATATTATTTCTTTCAGAGCAACAAACCAGGAATAATGTGCTGAAATTATTTAATTTAATTTGCAAAACATACATATTAATATCAAATTTGATCAGAATTTATTTGTAATCGATTTATAGGTACATTGGTTCCGAAGACTTTTTTAAGATGGACGTTCGTTCGCATATGAAATAGTATTTACTGTTGCAGTCCACACTGTACCAGGACTCGTCCATGCCCATAATCATGCAGCCATTTTGTCCAATCAAATTCGACTGCGGCTCATCCTTGGACCAGTTCTTATAGCCCAACGGTGTGCCAATGCTTTGCCAAGTCCATGTATTCAGATCCTTCAAATTGCTGGCGCCAAGCCAAAAATTTTCAATGCCCAACAAATGGCCTGAACATAGATGGATTAGTTTTGCATGAACTGCATGGAAATGTATATGTGGAGTTCTCTTACCATTTTTAAGTATACTGCTAATCACCTGCAAATGCTGATCGTAAGTGTTAACTGTGGCTAGAATCATGCCAGACCGATTGCATTTTTCATGTGCCACAAACCAATTGACCTGGAAAGATTGTCCAATCGTAAGGACTGATCCTTAATTCCTTGAATTCTGTGCTCACCTTGCCAAAAGTGACAGCGACATATTTCCCAGGTGTCTCTTGACAATTCCACAATTGTAGACAACAAATTAGAACCAGTAAGCGAAACATTTTGTTAAGAACTCGACTCGTTTTAAAAAGCACTTACCATTTTATAGGGAAGCGATAAAAATCGCATTAAAAGTCGCTTAGAAAGCAATTATTAGTGAGTAGATAAAACTAATCTGTGGGTTTACATTGTTTCTAGGAAAATATAAAATGTTTTTATTCAATAGCAAAAATCGTTAACACTTTACAAAATTGGTGTGTGTCCCTTAAAATCGACCGCACTTTAGTCTAGTCTTGGTCTAAGTCTAGAATTTGTGTGCGGAGTGTTCAGCTCTTAATATATAATTAATTATATATATATATATATATATATTCATTTATTCAGTTTCTTTATAGCTATTAGTATTTGTAACTAGCTCTTTACAAAATTCACATCCGAATCTCACATTTAGCTCTAACTAAATTAATTTAAATATATATATAAACTCCGATAATGGATACCCTAAGTCTGACTGAATATTTTATATATGAAAACTTAATTTATTTGACTTGCGATTGCTTTTGTTTTGTTTTGTTTTTTAATGAAATGCATATACAATAAAAGGCTTGTCGAAATTGGGGTATTCATAAATAAAATGAACTGAAACTGAAAATATACCAATAATAGAGAAAAAGTTACACGAAAGTTAATTGAAAATTCCCAAATACTTGCGAGTCTTCAGAAATATTAACTGAATTAAAATATTTATAAATCTTAAATCATGACTAAACACGACTAAAATTGCATGAAAATTTCTAAATTACGAACACTTTCTGGAAAGGGCAAGCCGAAAATGAAGGCAATTCATTTAACTACTGCATTTACACTTTGAACTAAGCAATAATAATTAGTTGAACAATTATTAGGCTGACTACAAAATTTGAGTTTCTGGTCAGCCGCAGGCAACTTAATATATTATACATTTTTAGGGCTGCCAGATCGTTGAATATTTAACTCTTTTTTTTTAGAATATTTTTAAAGACTTGCTGGACGGACCGAAAAATTGCCATAATGCCAGGCTTCAAAGAAAAACATGGGAAAACACTTAATTTCAAGGCATAAATGCAGTAAATTTAAGAAAAGTAAAAAAAATGAGTGGTTTTTCTTTTGTGTAGATAAATATGGAATTATTTATGGAATTTCTTTAAACTAGGCTTAATTACGTGCTGCATTTAGAAAACAGGAAGCGCAAACTTTCCAGTTAGTGGATGCCGATCTTTTAGTAATCTCCATATTGATATGTGGGCGGCTGTTGTTGCTGATGCGTCGCTTTGCCGCTCGGCTGGAAGAGATTGTGATGGGAGGAGGAGCGTGGGGCGAAGCTGGCGGGCACAACGACGGCAGTCTCTGAATGCGAGTGTCGCTGACTGGGCGACTGGGTGCGATTGCGATTGCGTCGCTCCTCAATGTTCGCCGGCCAGCGCTGCTGATGCTGATGCTGATGATATCGTGTCGAATCCTCCGATGACCGTCGCCGATGATAGCGTTTCGTCGAGCTGCTGGCCGACGGCACTATCGCCTCCGGCTGATGGCGATAGCTGCTGCTGTCGTCGTCACCACTATTATTGCCGGCTGCCTGGCTCAAAGCCAATTGATATTGGCGCTTCATCCGCTCATCCAGCGAGGAACTGGGCGTGATATCGATCACATCACCATGCGAATTACGACGTGTGCGTTGCTGTTGCTGCTGCTGCTGCTGTTGCATCAACTCGCGATCGTAGTTCTCGTGGGCGTGTCGCCTCTGTTTGCTGCTGTTTCGCTGCTGATGATGCTGCTCATGGGCATCCAAGCGTTCGCGCCACTCGGCTGCTGATACCTGCTGGCCATAGAGATCGGGCTGTGGCTGAAATTGTGCACCAACACCATAAATATTCTGATAGCTGGAGTGACGCCAACCCTTCTCGTAGCGTCTGCGCGTCTGCGCCGCCTCCTCATCCTCCTCGGCTTCCTTGTTGGCTGCCAATTGTTGGCGACGCTGCGACCGACTCGAGCTGCTCTCCGAGGAGTCCTCGCCGGAGGTGCCCAGACCCTGATCCTTCTCATCGCCGCCGTAGGCCTTGTAGGGTGCACCCAGGAAGCCCTTGGAGCCGTACGCATAGGGTCCATTTAGACCCATGCTGGGATATTGCATGTAATAGGACTGTGCAAAGGGTTTCTCCATCACGTGCGCCATCTTCATGTCATCCACACTGTCATCCATATCGTCCTCGGAGCCATCATCACGACCCGTCCACGTCAGCCACGAACCAGGTCCAAACAGCGAAAGCAGCACAGGCAACAGAAACAAACCATGCATCGCTCCAAAGAAGATGACCAGAAAGACCATCTTGAAGAAGACCAAAAATATATAGCTCTGCGCCAGCAACAGGGCAATAATGCCCAATATTGTCGAACTGGAACCCTGTACAATGGGCAAGCCCAGGGAGTGAAGTGCCTCACGGACTCGAGCCTTCGGACTGCGTTTCTTCGACGACATATACGTATAGCAAATGTGAGCGGTAAAGTCCACCGAGAAGCCAATGCACATGATCAGATTGATCATCGATATCGAGTCCAGATTGACGTCCCACAGTGCCATATAGCCAGCGACGCCCAGCTCAATGGATATCACCGAGAAGGCCACCCAAAGTGAGCACAAAATATTGGGTATGAATACAAACGAGATGATCATCATAATAATCGCACCAATAACCATCGCCTGGAGCGAAACTGGACGCACTAGCTCAAATTGATCGAAGAACACAAAGTAGGGATGGAATATGGAGGCATTCAGTGGCGAATCCTTGCATATCTTGCGCAGATCACGCACCATCTCCTTCTCATGATTCGTGTCCGTTATGTTGACGGCCTGTATCAGGAATCTCGAGGCAATAATCTGTGTGTCATCATCGTTGAGACGCACGTCCAGGGAGAAGGGATTGCCGGGGAAGAGCCAGTGTTCCTTGACAGCATCGATAAACGATTGTTCGTCATCGATAGTCTCATTTAGATAATCATTATTGCGTTCCATGAACGAGAGGAATGATCTCAACCAGGATTCAGTATACAACGATGAGGTCACATACGATGTATGCTCCAAAGTGCTCGTTAGATTCTCCATTTGTTCCTGCACCAAGGGATCCGAATAGTTGTAGACACCGGCAATGATAACCTGTAAGCAAATTAATCGATAAATCAGTTGCATATATTCATCGATATGCGGCAAATGAAACCCACCTGCATTCTGTAGGGAAACTCGCGATAATAATCATCCTCACGATCGAAAAACTCCACCGAATACGAATCCTCACGTGACAATTTACGTCGCTCCAGTCCCTCCTTGATTTGGGTAACGCCATAGCAGGCCCCAGCCAGATAGGTGGCAAAGGCCAGTATGATAATGATTTTGCACCATTTGTTATTGATCACCCGCGCCAGTTTGTCCTTGAAGAAGGCCATCAGCATGTGATCCTTGTTATCGATGGGATTATCCGGATCGCTGTGATTAATGCCACCGGCCATAATCGCCTTGTAGAGGAAGTTACGTTTCTCTGCAAAAACAGATCGATTGACAGAAAAGTTGCTCAGGTCCAGTTGCCATTGACCCCAATTCCCAAGAAATGAATTACTAACTGAACTGCTCTCTTCATCTGTGGCTGTGACTATGACTGTGACTAGTCTAGTTTCTGTGCTCATGATCAAGTTCATGTGTTGCAGCTGCTGAATTAAGTTCTTGGCACTAAGCCCGAGTTCAAAGCCGGTTGTTCTGGCCAAGCAACTGGCCAACAAGTGGACCTTGCCAAATGTAATTAGCCAACGTGACAGCTTACTAACGATCAACAGAGTTTTATATGTACTCCATTTTTTTGTTTGACGATTCAGCTTGATTAAAGTTCAAGAACAGCTTTACTAGATTCTATTTAGCATAAAAATGCATATAAACATTGAATATGCGAAGAAAAAAATCAAAAAATCATATGCGGTTCGTAGAAACAATTTGTGGAAACGGATTAGAAGAATGGAAATGACCAAGTCAGAAGTTTAGGAAGGGGAAATATTCTGTTGGAATTCTGAACAGGCTTTGTCTTATCTTATGTCTTATCTGACTTGCAGTTATTATGACTAATAAATGAACTTCTTGAACCCCAGACATTTCCGATCTCACTTTGTTTACGAATCGTAATCTAATCTAGTTTTGTAGGCTAATAAAATAATTTTCAACTAAGTATGAGGCTCATTGAAACGAATAATTCCATAATGATAATAACACCATGTCATAGCTATTGAAGCAGTTACTATTTCGCACAATTTGACAGTCTTTGACTTACCCTTAATCGCCACCGACAACGGCTTCACCTTGCAACCGAAAATGGCATGAAGATTCTTACGTTCCCTGTAGCCCGAGATGGCCATGCAGGCGGCAAAGAAGGTGATGTGCCAGATGAATGTAAAGCAGACTGCAAATACCGAATAGGTGCAAAAGATCTTAACCGAACGAAAGGGACTAATGATGCCAATCAGAAACGATATAAAGTCTGTCACAGATGTGATCGTTATCGAGACAGCTGCCTCGGACATCATGTGACCCATGCGTTCGTGTACTGGCATTTTGGCGGGTGTTCGTCGCCAACCGGCCAACATTACAAAGGTGTCGTCGATGCCAATGCCTAAAAAAATTCAACAAAAATATTAATATAAAGTTTATAAATATAATTGACAACTTAACACTTACCAATCATGAGAAACGGTGCCGCCAAATTGATGCCAATAAACTCAATACCGCAGTACATGGCCAGACCAAAGGCAGCCAGGGTCGCCATTATAGCCGAGATGTTGCCCATCAGACCCAGAAAAGGTTTAGAGCGCACCGCATCACCCATCATGCAGGTTATGACGCTAAGGTGATATACGAATTAAAATTAATAAATTCACAGCTAATCTAGGAAGTTTTTTTTACCTGAACAAACCCATTAGCAGAAAAGTGGAACTGAAATAGGGCACAACCGTCTTGGTGTTCTTCTCCAGCTCATGATCCAAGGTGCGTGAGGCAAAGTAGGAGACCGAAATGTGCTTAAACAAACCAGTTGTTTCCGCCTTGCCCACAACCCTTAAGAAGGTCTCCTCCCACTCAGCGCCCCTATTGAAATAATTGTTATGATCATTTTTATGATTAAGTTAAAGTTTTCACTTTACTCACTTGGCATCTTGACGCTTTGTGTCCGCTGTAACAAAGTAGACTAGCTGGATAGCTGGCACACTTATAATATAGTTATCCTCGGTTAGTTTTGTGCCCCCAAAGAATACGGGAAAGGCGTGCGCATCCCAAGTCACCGGATTAAACATAATTGGAAATGTTAAATTCAGCTGACCCGATTCGATCTGCAAATAAAGAGAGATGAGTTTAAGTTTAAGTTGATCAGTTGAGCTATTGTTCCTACTCACATCATCCATTAGCGCATCCAAGTTTAATATGTCATTCTCGAAGCACTCATTCTCCCAGCGTGCACAGTTATCCTTGTAGGTGAATCGGTCGCCATCGTAGAAGGTCGTCGCGTTCTGTATGAGATTATCCAATATTCGCAGCTCCATAAATACCTCGCGACGCAACATATTCTCATCGCCATCTTTGGGTATGACAATCACACGACCAAAGCGACCTGTTAATATGTAAAATTGGGGAAAGCAACGAATTAGATATGCTTTGCTTAAGAGTTATCCTTTTTATGGGTTTCCTACTTTAGAAGGTTTCCCCTTTTCAGGCAGGGCACAGTGATTCGAATAAACATTTCTAATAAACATTTTTATAATATTTAAAATTTGTTTCGTGTAAATTAGATCATTGTGTAAATATTACTAAAATGGAATGGACAAATGTGGAACAACGATAAGATGACCGCTTTTATTAAGTACAGAGTAGATATTTTGTACCAGTGTGCGCACACTGGGTAAGCCTCCTCCTTCAGTGTCGGCGCCTTCGTATTCTGTGTGTGAAGCGACGTGACTATAATTTGAATCAGTTTCATTTAAGCTTTTATTTTTTGATTACTTATTTTGTATGTGCGCTCATATTCTCGTAATTCACTTCCACTTTGCTATAGAGTATTGTAGAAATCGTTTTGTGTTTAATGCGCCATAACAAATGCAGCAGCGACCACTTGCGTCAGTGTTTGTCCACTAAATATGTAAATAATATAATACACATACACACACACACATACATGCATGCATATGTATATCTGTATATATATGTATACCTGTGTATACCTATTGAAGAAGTCTTTGACTGGCATCTGTTGAATGGGCAACGACGTGCGAGTGAACACGTTGCCATCGCTATTTGATACCCTGTTAGGCATGGGCAGCAAGGGTATTATCGAAATTAGTAATCGATAAACTGTCGCAAATATGAGCTTCATTTGTTGTTGTTGTTTGTTCCCGGCTGTTCAGTAAATGTGTTTGATGAGAAGTTATATAACCGTTATGTGTAAGCTGATGAAACAAATATGATTTAGGGAGCTTGGAAGATGTAAGCCAAACATAACTGTAAATTGTTATTGATGTGCCAAAAACAATGCAAAGCAAAACAAAAACACATCGTGAACAGGCATAATGAAGAGCAGGACAACAACATATTTGTTGTTCTTGCTCTGTACTCGGTGCGACACTCTCCAAATGCGCAGTTAAGTAAATTTTTTGCAGTTATTCTTTTTTGTCGTGTTTTATGAAATGTGTGTTGCAAAGTGGAAAAATTGAAATTGTTTTACTGCGTCTTTTGAAAAGAGAAATGCAAGTAAACAAAATCATAAGAGGATAATTCGCTGCCTTTGCGCATCTTGTTTTTGTGCCAATCATTTTATTATTATTTATTTTTTTGTGTAAGTGAAAGGAAATGATTAAGTGTTGCTCAACGGAAACAATTAGGGAATTATTATATTTTTGCTACTGTCAGTGAGGTCATTATTTAAATATTTTTCCGTAATAAATGCACGGTATTTCTTAGTCGTGCATTGTCAACTAAAGCACTTTTGTTGTGAATGAACTTGTAGGAGATCTTCCAGAACTTTTGACATAGGAAACTGACTGATAATAGGACACAAATGGCAGCAGATAACGATAACAATACTTTTCAAGTGCCCCTTAAATACATTCATTCTGCTGTTGATCAAAATACAGTTGCATATTCGGCACATGCGACACTTGATTATCAATTTAATTGGCTTCACTTGACGACACAAGCATTGCGAATTATAAAAAGTATGCTTTGAATTTAAATTAAACTCCTACGAGATGTGCAAATGCCGAAACCTATCAAAATCGATTTATTTTGCCAACAGAAACAGAATTGATAATTTATTTATTTCTATGTACTTGTATGTGATTCGATGGCAAATTAGAAGAACATAAATGATAAGTGTAAAATAAATATTAAGTACAAAAAAAGAGTGGTTTTTGGACGATGCCAACAACACGCGGTGTTCCCAAGCGGTCCCCCATCTAAGTACTAACCGCGCCCGACGCTGCTTAATTTCGGTGATCGGACGAGAACCGATGTATTCAGCGTAGTATGGTCGTTGGCGAATGTCGGGCGCTAATGGAACCTGTATATATCTGGTTTGTGGAAATATGAGGTTGTGAATTATTACGCTGGTCGTTGGTGAATATCGAATGCCTTAGTGGCAGCAGGAGTAAATGACAGACACTTCACGATAAAATTAAAGTGTTCCCTCTGCAAGGGCATACAATTTTCTGCTAGTCCTTTTCTGTGATTCGTATAAGCAAACAATTGCTTTTATATGATTTCCTAATAAAAAAAAAAGTGAGTGTATATGGTGAGCAGTAATAACAATGCATTTTTATATGGTTAAAAAATGTAAATTTAAAAGCAAAAAATTGTACGAAGCACATTTAACGCTTTCCCATACCGGGAATTGAACCCGGGCCTTCCGGGTGAGAGCCGGATATCCTAACCACTAGACAATATGGGAGATGCTTACGAGCAGATCCCGTGTTCGACTTGAGCTGTGGGACAACAAAGCAAACGAAACTGAAAGAAGCTGAACGAATGTGTGGCACAAAGAGCCGTGCAACAGCTGTTTGTTTGTGATTTGAAACATTTGCCATTGGATATGTTTACAGCGCCAAACCAATCAATTTATATAATATTCAAGCTGTGCATAATAAATGACAAATAGCATAACATAAAACTGAAGCAACAAAATTAATAAAACTATGTTTGTCCGCAAGAGCCTCGAGGCGAAAGTTTGGCTGCACATGCAACTCACAATATGTTTTGGTTTGAAATCATTTGAAATCGCCTCCGTCTCTGGGATTACACACATATGTCTGCATGTATTTTTGCTGTGTGGCCAAAAGTACAAGTCAAGCGAAGCGGCAGCTAACTGGTCGTAGCCGACTAAATGCGGTCTAGATAATGTTTGCCCATCTACAGTTAGCTCTCAAATGCAACACAACACAGTTGCTACCACAGCTGGAGCTGCTGTGGCAGCCCGCAACTTGTTCGACTTGTTGGCATCTTCTTCTTCTTCTTTTTCTACATTTTGTGTTTGTCAAAACAAAGTTCAACACAGCTCAAGACACATGTTATATGAATGAGTGATTAAGTGGTTAATTCGAATGCCTACACTCGCAAAAAATAAAGTGATTTTTTTTTAAATCGTCCCTGAAGTATTGCCACCATCATATATAAAATATATAAATAAATAAAAGACTTATATTTCTTAGAGTGCTTTCACATTTACTATTCATTGGTTTTAAGATTAAATTACATTTATAAGGCCTACATTTTTTTTTCGCTGAGTGTAATAAAGCTATTACTCATAATACAATGTATGTTTGAATGAGCACACTGAATGCATTTAAGACCTGGTTGCACATCGAGTGCACTTCTTCTTTAGAATGCGGTCAAACAGATATTTCGCAAGAATTATTTGCTAATCTTTTTAATAGTTTCGTATTATTTTCACTAACTGACAACACTCTGTCTAGTTTTGAAGAGACCTGTCGTCACAATTTCAAGTCAGCTGCTCATCGGTGCTCAAGTGTGCTCATTATTTTTGATGACTTTTTATGGGACTCTGAAGCGTTTTGTTACTTTGTTGTTTTTTAATGGCTTCACTCACCCGATTTCGCATAGTGCACACGTTTTTCAATTTGTGCAATATTTTTTTTGCGCTATTATTCGCTAGTATTTCAAAAACAAAACAATAACAATAATAAACTTTTACCAATCCCAAACACTCTTACTACATACCTACTACTCACTATATAGCCAACAGTGTGGGCGCCAAGTTTTACGTTTGGCCCGCTGTTAATAGCTTATTTTTTTTACCGTAAATATTAATGATTCACCCAAGCGCTCATTTGGATGCCAAACTTATTTGTTAACTGCAGCTGGGCCTTGCTTTAAATCGTTAAGTATTCGTTTTTCATATCTTCAACTACTTAGAGACTAAAACACTGACTCCAACAGCGTATTCCATTTTTAATTTATAAATATATTTCTAACTCATTCAAATGGTTGCGTTATTTAAAATTTGAGCATTTTCGTCGTAGAGTCAACGCCTCCCATATCGTCTAGTGGCTAGGATATCTGGCTTTCACCCAGAAGGCCCGGGTTCGATTCCCGGTATGGGAAAGTACTTTTTCTTTTTGCTGCTATTATTTTTTATTTTTGCTTAAATTGCGCTGTCGCGTTACTCATCCAAATAGTTCCATGCACATATATAGATTTCAATTGTAAGCGTTGTTAATTTTTTAACTCAAATAAATTGGCTTGATTTGAAAACGTCTCAGACAAATGTGTTTACTATGTGTTTGCATTCAACTGCAGCTGTCGCAATTTGCTTTCAGTTATTTTTGAATCATCACAATGTCATTTGGCAATTTTACATCATTTTTGTTAGCCATTGTTGTTGGCTTCGGCTAATAAACCATTTAGTGTAGTTAATAGCGTGAAGAAACTGCGGCTGCGGTTCAAGACCCTAACAAAACAAAATGCAGTCTTGAACCCAAAGTCGGTGATAAAAATATTATCCGGGTAATTTGTTTTTCTGATGACAAATAACTAAATTTTGGGGAAAAGAAACAGACGTCACAATCACATCCGTTCGTTCGTTCAAGGTGCAAAAACTGTTGCAATTTTTAATTGGATGACTAAATGGGGCTCAGCCGCGTAGAGTCATTTCACTTGCCCAATTTTTGCCGAAATGATGTCCCCTCCCATGCATGCATATTTATGTCTATATTGTGGACAAACTTACCGGGTCTCGTAATGCGTCCCACATTGAAGCGATGCGTATAATTCACTTTGAAATATTGCTCAACAATTGCACGTTCGGCCTTACCCTCGCCATTAATGGGCGAAAACAGATATTCGGGATCGATTTGGTACTTTAATTGTTGATAGCTGTATAATAAACAAACAGAAATTATTATTTCAAATAGTTCAATTACTTTTGTTTTGTTTTGTTTTCAGACTCACCCCGTCATGCAGAGCAGCGTTAAGAGCACTGGTATTATCACAAAATAGCCCGGATGTTTGGCTATGCAAATGCCCAGATGATAAAATGATTTATTTAGTGTCTTATCAACACACGATATACCGCACGTCATCTAAAAATAAGAAAAGTTGACCTTAATTAAGTGATTTTGTATAGTTTTAACATATATCCGACTAAAGTATTTGCTGAGCTACAAACAACAATCAAATCAACATCTATTTGAGGTAAAGGCATTAAATGCCCAGATCTAGCTTCCATTGCGTGCTGTTTATTGAAGGTGAAAGACAAAAGGCAAAGGTAGATTGGAGCTGTTATTATAAATATATACATATATCTATGGAGCTTGTCGCTCGTTTGTTTATAGGTAATGTGGTGGCGAGTCTATTTGGCTTTGATCACCGGCACTGACACCTTCAACTTAAACTTAACACACGCATTGTTTTTACGTCAATTTGACGGAATCAAATCGAGATACAGCAACTTAAAAAAATGCCCTTGTTCATCTAACAAAACACAACAATAAAATAAATGACTACCAAAAACTTAAGCTAATAATGGACATTAACATGATTATAGAAGTCAAGTACAGAGGCATTATAAACCACCTAAGTACTTATTTATCATTAGTGATTTTTCTTTTTTTTTCAACAAAAGATCTAAGCAATTTAACTTAAAGTTCATTAAGTAAAAATCAAATGAAAAATTGAAGCTAATGTTTAAGAAGCATAACATGAAAAAAATTATTGTCGCCCCCGGGTGGACTCGAACCACCAACCTTTCGGTTAACAGCCGAACGCGCTAACCAATTGCGCCACGGAGGCTGTTGTACACCAGCTGTCTAATCTCACTTTGCTACTACACCCAAGTAGTTCTTATTAGAATTATGTTTCTTATTGTTAGGCTCTGGTTTCAAGTAAGTTAGAATTCCGTATAGTGGCACGAGCCTCCGTGGCGCAATCGGTTAGCGCGTTCGGCTGTTAACCGAAAGGTTGGTGGTTCGAGTCCACCCGGGGGCGGGACACAATATTTTGTCTTTAATATTTTTTGAACGCGCGCTTCACACTGCCAAAAATTAAGCAGAAAATTGATTATAATGTACATGTTACTAACAAAGAAGTGTGTTTGTTGCTGCGCAATTTGTTTTAGAAAATTACTCATGCCACACGCACAGAATAGGCATATTTCGCATTATGAATTGCGTTAAACAAAATGCTTACTCTTCTACATGAATAGAACATTAGCATTATAAGTGCTCGTGACAACAAAAAAGATCAAAGAAAACAAAAACAATAGCAATAAGAATAGAGAGAAGCATCAACAATACATTAGGCCAGATATGTATAAGGACTGTTAAACTACGGCCATGGAATGTTAAATGAGCATCTCTTTAACAGCTACTGTTCAGCTAACAGCTGGTAATTAACATCCATAATAATTGAGGTGTACAAAAAAATGAAGTCTTTTGTTTAGCATGCTAAACGCCAACTAAGCAACGATTTAATGAGTTTACAGATACCTAACCATGCCACGAGTGGCTGTATCTGTGTCTGTAGCTGTATCTGTAGCTGTGTAACTTTCTATTTTGATCGAGTTCAACGACTACTGACGCTGCACTTTTACCAAAAAATGTTTAACAAGAAAAAAAAAAAACAGAAAACAAAACAAATATATTACAACAGCACTGTTGTCTTTGATACAGTCAAGGTTAGAGCTGTGCAGACGGTAGACCAGTATTCTATTGTTGTCATAACGGTTCATTATGTCAAAGTGATTTAATAAACAAGTTAAGCGCCACACATAAAAAAAGCTCCCAAGGAGTGCTTGCAATAGTCTCACCAGTCGCCAGTCATCGTGTGTGTTGCTTAGGTGCTTAGGAGTTTGTCCGGCAATATTTATATTTTGTGTTAAAAAGGCCATAAAATGAGTTATGTTTTTTAATATATATTTTCAGAGTTCAGAGCAGGGCCAAAGCACTTCAAGTCCAAGTTGTCTGTCTGTCGTACGTGCCTTGGGAGAATAACAGTTTAATAGTTATGCAAATCTGCAACACATTTGCCACAGTCACCTTTTGGTGACTTTATGTAATTGAGTTTTGTTCATTACCATCAAATGTAATTTTCACAGATGTTCCTTAGAATACTAATTTGATTTTCATAATCTGTGAGCTAAGCTAAAAATTGCATTTCAGTTAATTTTTGTAATCAGCATATACAATTTTAGCCATGTCGCACAAGTTTTCTAGGCTCTCATTGCAGCTACTAAATCATTTTTCATCATGTGCTTATTTGTCATCAAGTTTCTCTCTTGTTGTCTGTCTGTTTTAATTATGCTTATAGTTTCATCGTTTTTTTATAATACTGCTTTCACTGCCAACTTTTTCGCTTTTTAATGCAAATATTCTGATTTCAATTTAAACATATTTGACACATATTTTCATTTAATCCTTAACCAAAATGTTCATTATTTATTCACATTTTAGCTCAGCTTCACTCTCTTTACCATGAATGCATATATCACGAGCCGCTATTTAACTCTAAATATAGCTTTTCATCACCTCTTATTATGCAAATTCGAAATAAAAATAAATATTGTACAACAGTAACCCAACACGACTTCAATCCCCTCTCCAGCTCAAAACCCCAAAGTTCATTAATGAATTTTACAATTGTGTCGCAAGCTTTAACTTCAAATTAAATTTCAGCTTTAACTTCAACTTCAGTTTCAGTTTTGAGTTTTTCATAATCAGCTGACATTAAATGTCAAAATAAATGCCTTATCATGTGATCTGCGTAAATATGTTTGTAGTTGCTGTGACTAAAATGATTTGTGAACTTATGAAATTGAAATCGCAACAAAGTTTTGTTTTTTCAATTTCAGTTTTTCCATTTTTAGAGAGAGCTAAAAATATCAACAGCAACAACTGACACTTTAAGGTAACGAACACCTTGAAAATTTCCCGCATAAATGCGTGCCAAGAAAACTAAAAAATGCAAAAAATGTATATATCTATTTATACGTATAATGTATATACAAAATACACACAATATACATGTAAATATATTTCATACTCATTCAGTTTCAGCGGCCATCAAAAAGTGATTTCTGCCTAATTTCTGGGTCTTCAAAGTGGGTCAAAACAGTTGACGCCACTTTGATTTATTGCAACAACAAAAACGAAAAACAAATTCTTAAACATTTCTAAAACAATTTTGTACAAAATGCAAATATTCACACATTTGTTAGATATTTTTTTTTTAGAAATTCTTTCAAGAGCTGAGAAAGTTGTCTGCCCAAAAAGAGTTTGTCGCTTAAGTCTTTTGTTTGGACTCGCATATTTTTTCGTTGTTGGTTTTGTTTTTATATTTTGATTTTGGCTTTTGGTCAGCGTCAAATCCATTTAACGTCTCATTGTTTATGGTTTGTATTGTTTTCATTTTGGTTGTCTTTCTTGCTGTTGTTGTCTCTTATGCATATTGATTTCATTGAAAGAATGTTTGTATATTTCGAATTTTTGATGTGCCAACTTTTTACTTGTTCCGTTTCTTATACTTTTTATTTATTTTATTTTTGGGGTCACTGCAGATCAGATTCAGCTTAAATTGAATTGTGACTTGTTAATTTGATTTGCTTGTTAAATGGACAAGTGAACAACCTTTTGCTATTTGGTTCTCTGTTATGGTTTTCTCTGTTGAAGAGCTTGCAAGTGCTTTTGCGAGTATCTTTTAAGAATATCAAACAATTAAGAATGTTTATATGGCCGCTGTATGACATAGTAAACCGATCCGATCAGCAAAAATAAAGGATTACATATTTTATTAAGAAAGAAAAATGGAATGACTTGATCGTATTGCAACAGACGGACAAACAAACTCGGCTGTATACTAAATAGGTTTGAGAAAGAGAGAGAGAGAGAGAGAGAGAGAGAGAGAGAGAGAGAGAGAGAGAGGGAGAGTCTTATATAAGCATGAAGGATAATACAAATAAAAATCCATTTATAAGCATCAATCGCTCATTTTTGCCAACTGCAACTTTTCGAATTCTTCCATGCATAGCGCAGCTGAATTAAAAAAAAAAAAACTTAAAAAAACACTCAGCAATAGCTGGATTTTTTCATCACCTGTAAAACTGCATGCAGTTGTTGTTGTACGTGGTTGTTGTTGTTGTTGATGTTTTTGTTGGTTTGGCTTTCTTTTGCAATTTTGATCGTCAATATGTTGTATCACATGGACTTACATAACTGTGATTTACACACTGCAAACTTGCAACGCCTTTTTATTTATTTATTTTTCGCTGTGTGTGGAGCCTTATATTTTATTTTATTTATTTTTTTGCGCACTTCTTGAACAATTTATATAATTTATTTATGCGAAGCAAATTGATCACAAATATTTAATTCAACAAGTTTTCCTTTTCGTCAAATCGCATAAAATCAACAACTTTCACTTTTTTGCGCTATTTTAATGGCATTGTTTTTTTTTTTGGCAAACAAACGCACAAAGCATAAATACCAATATATTGCAAAAGTCATATTAATTAATGCATGATTAAAATATTTTGCTAATGCGAAATTATTAAACAAAAAAAAATATGAAAACCAATTTGATATTTCAAATTTTGCCTTGTGGGTGGCTACAAATTTGGGTCAAGTCATTGAAGTAGAACACAAGACGCCGTTGACCTTAGCACGTGGGCGTAACCCGGCTTAAAAGCCAAACATATTTATTGTCAACTGCAAAGCCTTTTTATTTTTGTTTTTGGCAACGGGCAAACAACCTTTCGGTAGTTTTTTTTTTTTACAATTGTTGCCACACACAAATGTTTGCAATGAATCTTAATTAGTTTTGCTTCGAGGCTGACAAAACTAACATTGAGCACTTGAACAACTGAAAAACGGTTATTGCCCAGCCGGCACTTGACCAGGTTCTGGCCACTAAACGCATTTCCAAGGCAAAAGTCTCAAAAGTCAACCGAAACCATATAAAAAAAAAAACAATAAAAATATTTAACACAAAAACAACAACAACAACAAAATCGAAATCACTTTCTACTTTTTCTGTGACTTTAAGCTCAGGCTGAATTTTTGTCTGACGCATGCGTGGCCATAACCTGAAACTGGGTCACACACGCACACTCGCACACACACTCACATACACACTTGCACACACACTCACACACACACACGCCGACACACACATCGTTTTACGTAGCTCTCTGCAAACGCTTTCAATTTGAATTTAGTTATTTTTATGCTCGATTTTTGATTTGTTTGACTTTGCATTAATGAACAATTTATTGGCTGCGACTAAAAACGGTTTTATCAGACGCCTTTTCTCTGTCGTCTTTTATTTTGTTTTTTCATTTAAATTTCGATTTTAACGTTTTGTGGTCAGTGGAGCAGTTGAGAGCGGTTTTAAGTAGCTTAAGCTGAACTGATTAGATCATTAAATGCTCTTTAACTGCCCACTTTTGTGACCTACTTATAAACATTTAACACCCAGCAGTCAAACATTTCCGGTATTCGCATTTAGCAGATATCTAAGTAATTGGATTTAACATCATTATTTGGCCAATTTGGCACCTTGGTAATGTGGTAAGTTATTTGCTTTATATATTGGCATTTTACTACAACTTTAATCTATTGCATTTAAAACAATCAATACCCCTGTGGCTTTAACTGTGGCACATAACTATAAATCAACAAACTGCTCAGCATGATTTTGACTGATGGCATATCCCAACTTTCTGTCCCTGAAATTTACTTATGACTAACAAACAACTGCTCAACTATGACTAACAACCAACTCATTTTTATAAACTGAGTCCATTAAAAATGTGAAGAAAGCCACAAGCAAGTTGAGCCAAAGTATGTAATAAGCAGATGGAAGCATCTTCCCTTTACCTTTCAATTACATTTATTTTTGCTCAGCATCAATAGACGAATCGATTGAGATATGTATATATGAAAAGGCCGATCTCAAAGACTATACGAGCAAGAGATTTCAATTGATATAGAATTTAACTAGACATTTTATGAATGAACCGTGAAAACCACGTAGGAAACGGACATTTTGTTAACCAAAACGCATTTTCATAATGAAGAAACTAAAATCAGTATTTTTAACAGGCATCTCTCACTCGAGCTTGCTCGACTAGCACCTTCTGGCATTTTCAAAATTTCAAATGCAATCATTGCTTCACGCTAGACTTGAATTTTTTACAGACTCCAAGTGACTTCATCCTGTTTTTCATGGCAGCATTCGTTGTTCTCATAATGTACAGTTGTGCTCAAAGTGGTGCCATCAATCAGTCAGTTGACAGCAGGTAGTCCCCGAATTCTCATTTAATTGCTTTCGATCTTTGACTGAATCCACTTTTCCACGATTTCCCAGAGATATTTTCGGGCATTTTTCTACCGCAGGTAGCCAAACGGAAAAATCCAACAAACTGGTTTCAACCGGCTAAATGAAAAACTATTCACATAAAACTCAATTTGACGAGAATACACGAGAACAATATTCGTCGCTAACAATTAGCAAGTTTGCTTTGTTTCGGCACGCGACTTTAGTGTTCAATATGATTAGCGAAATTGAACAAATTTGCCTGAGAATAGTTGGAAATGTTTGCCTAAGCACTTAGCATGAAAGCACCCAACTGAGTCGAGCACAGTTCCAGTTCCAATTCCAATTCCATATCTAAGGCAAGGCAAATGGCACTCGAGGTGTTAATTTAAAAAGCCACAAATGAATAAGTTGACCAAGTGTTAGTTTCAAGTGTTTTTGTTGCTGCTGCCCGGGCAATCAGCCGTTGAAAGGAAAAGTGCCACAGCCTGAAAGATCTTTCTTTATAGAGTGCTGCGTTAAAGTGCCGCTAACGCTCAGTTATTATATGTGCACATATATATATATATATATGCTATATATGCATATACATTTATTTATATATATATATATATAGTATACATGTGTGTTGAATACACGATCAGCATTGCACTTTCTTTTTTTCTACCACATTTCTCGACGGTTTCTGCGGCTACGGTTTCGGTTTGTCTGTTTTTTTCTTTCCTTTTTTTTTATTGTTTTCTTTCTTTACTGGGGGTTTTTTAGCATATGTGTTTATGCGAGTGTTTTCTAGTTTTTTTTTTATTATCTGGTCTGTCAATTCGATGATATATTAAGTTGATGATGCTGGCTGGAAAAACGCTGTCATAATTGCTCAATTTCTACGGAAAGTGAACTTGAGAGTAAAAGTCGATGTGATAAGCATAATTAGCTATATTAGCAGCATATGCTTAAAGAAAGTGCAAGTTGTCGTTGTCGTTTTTGTTTTATGATAATTATAAAAGTCTCAAGTCTCAGATTGACATGCCTCTGGGGCAGTGTTAATCGGTGAAATTGTCAAATTATTTACCTTGACTAAGCTTATTAATCAATTTTGATGATGTCTTCAAATCTTTTGATAGCCAAAAATAGCAAAAGCAATGTAATTTGTAATGGTATATGTTTTATACATAGTTTCTTAAAGGTACAGTAGTCTTTTCTGTAGAGAGGCTCTATTACTTTTATAACTACTCACTAAGTTAATTTCTATTAACTAAGAAACTTTACTTTTAATACCCAAAATCTCAATTCACTAAAATTACTCAAATCTCGTTATTCCACTTAAAACGAACTCAAAAATATTTGTATCTATTGAAAACTTTACTCATTTAAGGCGATTATAACTGTACTTAATGAATTGCATTAAATGGCATTTAAACATAAATAAAATTAGCCTTTCCATTTCGATTTTCAGATCGCTTTCGGCCTTGAACATAATTGGATTTTGCTCGAACAAAAAAAAATTGATTAAGTCTTGACCTAAGCGAACCGGTTTTGATTTTTTTCTTTGGCAATTTCACTTGAACTTTCATTAAGCGCAACTCCTTTTTTTTTGGGTTATGTCTGCGCATTTTTTGGAAGCTGCGACCCAAAAAGGGGGGGGAAGTCTCAAATATATATATTTTCACATTACATAGTCCACAATAAAGACAAACCGGATCATAATGAAACGAACGGGGTTTCGCATATGTGTAGAAGCGACTGTGTGTGCGTATATATACATGTGTGTGTGTGTGTGCGTGTCTGTGCAGCTAATGACGTCCATTCGTGAACCGATAACTGGGGGTCCAACTTTATGTAATAATTTCAGGTCGTATGTTCAAGATGCAAACTTATGAAAATTGATGTGTGTCTGTCGTCTGTCTCGTGTGTGTGTGTGTGTGTGTATATATTTGACTATTGGCCAATGTTTGCTATTGATATTTGGACCCGTTGTTGCTGTTGCTGTTGCCGTTGCTATCTTGACTCTTTCCGCTTCATTTTGAATGCCAATTTGTTGTGGCTCAAAGTCTCAGGTGTTGCTTGCTCTGGCAATGGCCAAAAAGCGGAGCTGTAGTAATTGTATCTGTGCTCCAAATTTGATTGCATTCATTTGACTGTCAACATTTTGAGTTGCCAAGCGAGAGAGAGAGAGAGATAGAGAAAAATCGCACTTGCCACACTTGGACACCATTTCAAAGTTACCTATGCAATTACAGTTTTCATGCATTTAATAATTTAATTAGGCGCGAATTGGTTTGTCTTTGAGTTACCTACTCTTTATTGTTGTATTTATATGATTTAATAAAAATCTTGATGTAAAACACATTCAGTGATCATCTTTTTAAGTGCGAAGTGCCGTAAAAAACGCCATTCACAAATTGCTGATAATTGAGCCAGCATTTTTCAGCTTAAATTAGCCATAAAATTGCGAAATTTCTTAGTTGTAAATTGCAAAAGATTCGAGTTTAACATCTGGTCTTCTATTGTGAAAGGAATATGTGTGTAAAGTGTAGAAAAAAATATCTGTGCTAGTTACTCTCCTTATATTCAGGGATCTTTGATAGAAATTATTTATTAAATCTTCAACTAAAAAACAGATTTTCTTCGAAATGGAAAATGTGTGTGGAAATTCTTGTAACACATAATTATAAAAATCCTCTACTAATTATAAATGATTTAAGTGATGAAATAAATCAATATATATCCCCATAATTTACTTAATTACTCACAACTTTAGGCGCATTGTGCATCTTTCATTTTGGAGTGACGATTGTAGGTTTGCTGCGCATTTTATGGCCTTCTCAAGGACTAACAAATTCCGTTACGCAATTCGGTAAAATATCAACCCCCAAAAGAAAACACAACCCCGCCGCAAATTATTACGCATTTTGCGGTATATTAAAGATGCACCAAACAGTAAATTTAGAAATATATATTTAAATATGCGAAAAATATAGCTTACCTTGTCGTTGTAAAATTCGTTCGTTTAATATCCAAGTTTGATCAATTTCTAAAAGTTATTCGTTTATTTTTTAGAAAAAAAATCAATTGCACTCTTTTTGTTTCGTGTGTTTCGCGTACGATAATAATGATATATGCATATATATATGTATTTATTATCTATTTATGTATTATTTTTATTGATACTTTATTGAACACCAAGCACACGCACTACCTTGTCCGTCATTTTGTATCGAAATATATATATATATGTATATATGTGTATATATATATTTCATGCGCACTTGATTGACCGTTAAGAAATATTCGAACTTGCGATTCGATTCCAACTGCGACGATTGACGGAGCGAATGGACGACCGTTGGCTTTGAGACCGTCTCGCGGACTGAATATGGAACCCCGTTCGCTGTGCTCGTGTCTCCGACTCAGTCGCAGTCTCAGCCTCAGCTTCAGCCTCGGCTTCTGTTGTGAGAGAGCGCAACGCACTCTCGCTCTCTCGGGTGCTCAGTGCGCTCAGCACTTGTGTTGCTCACCTGTTGCACTCATGTAACGGCTGCTTTCTCTCTCTCTCTCTTTCTCTTCATTTTCTGCATTTGCGCACCGGTTTCTGGCGGTTTACAATTTTATTTTTTTTGGGAAAAGATCATTTTCCTATACCTGCTTTACAGCCACAGGTGCTGGCAAAGATTTGAAGTTGTTGTTGTTGCAGATGTTTGTGTGCTATGCTCTCAAAGTCTGAAGGTCGCATTTTCGCTCATTAATCGCTGCTTCGCCACTTTCTTCAGCGATGGCAATCGCTGCTGCGCCTGCGCGCTGATTTTATTTGCTCTTGTACCGATTAACGGTGTCATGGTGTGAATTTATTCATGTGCAAGCATGTGTGTGTGTTTATGTGTGTGTGTGCGAGTGTGTATCTGTGTGTACCTTTCTGAGAGTTTCAAGTGAATTGCGCGACAGTGGCCATAAATGTTTATAGAACAGACTTCTTCGCTGGAAAAAATAGAGTGTGTAGCTTTATGTATAAACATATACCTCTCCATATATATATATATATATATATATATATATATATATTTATGTGTAAATATATGTATCTGCATACAGCCTCGGTGTTAGCTGTATGTAAATAACCCTTTGCTTGCAGAAATTTGATGCTGTAAAAGTAATTTGTAGCTAGCATTGAAAGAGACAGAAACTGGGGCACTGTACCCTTACAAGGTAGCAGAAACTAACTGGAATTGGGCCAAAAACAAATTTTAAATATGCAAAAAATTTGTTGACGAAATGAAATAGATATGCTTTTGCTTGAAAGAAACAGAAGGAAGGACATAGAAGCTGTAAATCATTTCAAAATCCACATACATATATAAATATATTTTATATTTCCTAAATGCTTTTAAAAACAGGACGCGCATGCTTCATCAGCTTAGGCCATAAAAATGAATAAAAAACCGCTTAAAAGCGTATAAAAAATAAATGGCAAAGCCTTCACTCATCATTAGACAATATAGTCTAGAACTAGACGACTAATTTCCCAGAAGCTCACATCCCAAAATAGCAATGCATAGTGTGAAATAAATTTCAGGAACTAAAAAAATGTTCTAGAACAATTTTTTTTTGCACAAATCGGTGTGTGAGAAATTTTGTTTAAGAATTCGTCAAATTCTAGTCGCATAGAGAAAGAGTACAAGTGTGTTAGAGATACAAACACACACACACACACATAAACACAAACACACACACACAAGCACACAAACACACACACATATAGAAATGTTAAAGCGGAAATTTTAATAAAAGTTATATACAATTTATTTCAAACAGTAGAAAACACACACAAACACAAACAAACACACACAGAATCATTTTTTGTGGGCTGCTGCAGAATGGGCCACAAGTATTGAAAGTATTATATGTACGAGTCTGTTGGGACTGGAACTATATAGAAAGCGATCCGCCGAACGAGAGATGGTGTGAATATAGTGTATATATACATATATATATATATATATATATATATATATATATATATATATCAGAATGTCAGATGAGCACGTTCAACTCGGCCGAGGATTGACGGCCCATTCAATTGAGTAGGTGTAACTGTATCTGTATCAGTGTCTGTATCTGTATCAGTGTCTGTATCTGTATCTGTAAATGTATCTGCGAGAGTAGTACGTACTGTGATTCTGCGATGCTGCGAATCGTGTATAGTTGAATTTAATTCTGTGCAATCAGCGACGTTTAACGAAATTCTATATATATATAAATATATATATATTTATATATATGCATATATACTTTAGATTTCAATGTGTGTGAGCATGGGTAAACATCGCAGCATTAAGAAGACGTTGATTGGATTTTGAATGAGACTGCGATTGTGTCGGACCTTAAGCAACATAAACGCCGCACTACACTGAGCGAAAACACTCACACATCACATTAGCATACCGTTTGCTGCTGCTGCTTCTTCTATTTACAGCAATGTGGCAACACTTTTTTTGTATCTGATTAGCTTATTAAGTTGGCTGCGGCTAAATCCAATTCGAGTCACACTTTCAGTTCCAACTGGATTCTATAAATATTTTCTTAAAGTGTGCTCTTTGCAAAATTTTGATTTAATAAATGCTAATTTAAATTCTTAGAAATGTGTGTGTATGTGTGTGTGTGTGTCTGTGTGTGTATGTGTGCTGCAGAATGGAACAAACTAATTGCATTTGTTTTGGTATGAATTGACTAAAGGAATTTTTCCCGAAAATTCTTTACACAAAGCGAATTACAGTTCAAGTTCATAAACCACGTGACTTGAACTTTTAGCAGGAATTTAAATTAGTCTGAGAAGAACTAAGGCTATAAATAAGAATATGCTAGAATCTTTATTCCTGTGACTTCCCGAATTTGTAATAACGATTGCTATCAGCTCCATGTAATTAGCTACTTACTTGAAAGCTAATCAGTGAGCGCCCTAAGATCGTATTAAGATTGCGAGTGAAATGATCTCAGATCGCAAACATTCATAATTATCAATGCTTGCTAATTAGCATTATACTAATAAACTGGCAAAGGGCGTATAAATCTCAACGATTTGTGTAACACATTAGTAAATTGCAATAATTATGCAATTCATTATACAAGAAATTGTAGCATCTTTTGTTTCTATGCAAAGCTTATATATTGTTGATATTGTTGTTTTTGAATTTCAAAGTGATCCAAAATTTAATTTCTATTCTTGTATTAAAAGTATGCATTGCAGAACTTGCTGATATATATAGATAACATCGATTAATATCTCGATCAAGTTCATAAAACCAATACAGAAAATATTGTAAGCATTCCGAGAGTTCGGATATCAGGGACAATTGAGGCAGCCGCATCCTTCAACAAGGCACAATCACAATAATAGGCACAAGATCGACACACAGCTCGCACGACGAGTTTGTTCTTGATGACATCCTCGGGCACGACCGCCTCACACTTCGAGGGCAGTGTCCAAAAGCAAATGTGTTCGCTAACATTACCTGGGGAATATACACAATACAACAACATGCTCTTCTAAAATGGAATTATCGTTATATACCACGTAGTATATAGCCATGATTGACACATTGCAAATTGCGCTGGATAACGGTGTCTCCCTTCCTCAGTTTTCTAACCAATGTCATATCGGTTCTACCTCCCATCGGCACCGAGTAACCAACACTGGTCACATTACAGATCCCATTGTATCGATAACAATCGGTGCATACATTCGAACCAACTGTTCAGTGTTGTGCAGTGCCAACAGTTAATGCCAAATAGATGCAACAATATGTTCTACTTCTACTTACTGCATATTGAATTCCTTAGATAAAAACTAAATAACAAAACGGACGCAACACTTAAAATTTGAATAGTCATTTCTAGCAAAAAATAAAAATAGTATAAAAAACGATATGAAGTAAAACAGAAAGCAAATAAGACGAACTGAATCAGCCTAGGTTAGATCGAAAGCAAATTTTGGTTCCAATTTCGCATGTGGGATGAAATATATAAAAATGCTCAACTATTTTAGGCTATTCAGAACAGGAATCTGCGCTGGAACCATTATAGAGTAAATGTTCAAATCAGAATATCAAAAAGGAATCGATTCCATTGCAATGCGACTCTTTTTTTAACCCACAATATTCAGTTGCCATAAAATTGAGCTGCATTTCCAATTGCTTTAATCAATACACAACAATGCTGATGGTCACAACAAAGCATACAAATAGAATATATCTGCGATCCAAGTGGGAAGATGTGGGTGCATTGTTGCAAGCGCAATATTTGGCACAATCACTGCAGATGCGCTTCATCAATTCTCTATTTTGCAACTTGTAATGGGGCACAACAGCTTCACATTTGTGTGGTTTATTCCAAAAGCAAATGTAGTCGAAGACATCACCTAAAAAGTGCATCAAATTTGTTCAACACAAATGCAAATCGATGAAAATTACCTGTTAGTCGATATTCGGCATTGATGCAATGTTCTAATCTGCCATGATCGATGTAGCCATATGGACCAGTTCTTGCAACCAATGACTTGTCGCCAATGGCATGCGGAGGGGCTGCCCAACCCTCTCTGTTAGTTTGGCACTCGCCATGTGGAAAGCAATTGGAACATGCATTGTCCCCACATGCAGCTGATCGGTTATTTTTTAAACACACTCATATATACATATCTATATACATGTATATAAAATATATATCTACTTACAGTTGATGGCGCAACATATTAAAAGTAACCAACATTTTAAACTTACAAATTTCAAAGTCATTTCAACAAAACCAACACAAACAAAACCGAAACAAATAAAATATATATCTAAAACATAAATATATAATATATTATATATAAATATAAACATATATATTTTTTTTTTGTCAAAGCATGCTGCGTGCTCAGAATATTTCTAATTATGAACAGAGAGATGTCATATCTAAATAAGCACATAATTTTTATTAGATTTCAATAAAATTGTGCTTAAATTAATTGCATTTTCAACTGAATGAAGCAGATGATTAGTACAAGTTGATTGACATTGGAAATGTTGGACAAAGATGATTTTGGAGCGATTCCACGACAGCCACACCAATATGCACACGATTCACAGATTCGAATTGTTTCATTTTGATCAGTTGATGTAATGAATGGGACGACAGCTCCACACTTGCCACTTTGCCTCCAAAAACAAATGTAGGAACGTACAAAACCTAAACAAAACATCAAACAATAATGAAAATATGACAATCATCAGGGTATCAAAGATTCCGGGTTGACAGCATGGTCTAATTCTTTAATCACCTTCTATTGTATATTGGGCGCCAGTGCAATAAAGTAATTGTGTTGCCAAGTTCTGCGACTGGCTAGTCTCATAAACTAATCGCATATCGTGACGGTTTTTAGTTGGCACAGAATACCCATTGGATTTCACATCGCAATACGGATGAGTTGTTTCTCCGCATCTGATACACGTATTTTCTCGGGATGCTGCAGATCTTGTACTCTTCATCACGCACTTGCCAGGATCCCTTAAAGCTGTCGATTCATTTATACACATGCATTGCCAAATTAATCTTGATTGCCTTGACTTACCCAACTTTGTCTACTTACTGTTGAATTCACCTACATTTAACAATAGAGAACCAAATAACCACACAGAAATTAAACTCAATTTTTTCATTTTAGCCAACAAAACGTAAAATAAATTAAAATTTTCTATAATTTCCAACAATAAATCAAGAATTGTTACAGAGATTATTGAAAGCTATTGACATTTCTAACTAAGCAAACTACAAAGAGTTTCACAAATTTGAAAATGTAACACAAATACTTTCAAATAAAGATTTAAACAACTATTTATAGTAGTTGTATTTTTACAGGGTGAGTTTTGAATCATCATGGAGCTGGTCATAGATCTAGAATAAGCATTAAATAAATTTCAATAATCATAGCCCAGCCTATAATCAAAGCATTAATTGTACCAGCTTTGGATTTAGTTCCAGTATAGCAGCCACAATATTTGGCACAAGTTCGACAAACTATGGGATGCATATGATGTTTATTGATAACATCGCTTCTGGCGACTGCCTGACAACCCATATATGGTGCCCAGAAGCAAATGAAAGTCTCGATTTGTCCTGCAAATAGAGTTGAATGTAAATCATAGATTGAATTGGATTGGATTGGATTAACAATTACCTTTTATATCATAGCCATCAAGCACACATCGGGCGAGACTAGGATCGCCATCGGTATACGAGGGCAACTTGACAACAATCCTGGCATCGTTGGTCGAATGCCTGAAAGGGGCCCAACCCGTCGTTGTCATTTTGCAGCGACCTCTATAAGCAGTGCAATCCACACATTCATTGTTTGCAGCATCTATGAGCTCTGCAATTATACCAATTAATCAATAATAATAAAACACATAAATATAAGTAATAACAATATATATCTATCTATATATCTACCACACTTTAAAAATAACGTCAGTAAACCAAAAAATATAGTTAGGCGAGCGCTTCGATTTTGTGGCATTTTTAAGTTGGAAACCGATTGAATTCTTATGATTTACAAATGTATAAATTGACAGCATGTATAAATTTTAATAAATTGTGTTTGCTTTGTTTTTCAATTGGGGAACTTGTTTCGAAACTTAAGTGTCTGATTGAAATCATCATCGGTTCCTGTATCCTTATTAGCATAGCTTAATACATAAATCGATCAACTAATAAATGTCGAGTTTACTTTGCAGCTAAGTTATATATATTTTCTATATAGACAATCGGATTGGAAATCGTAGATGTTATTTACTCTTGATCTGCATCTGCATCATTTTCTGAACCAGCCAGAAAAATGAGTTCTTGTATAAAAAAATCGTTTTCTTTTACCAAGCTGCTATTCTGACTAATTTCACTACATATATCATCAGCTTCAGTCCACTGTAGCATATGGCTTCAATGAGATTTAGATTTTGGCTGGTTGCCTTCAGTCTGAAAGGGTTCGACGAGCCATTCTTTGTTATCATTTCATTATTTTCGATTTTACAGCATTTATTTGAAAAGTGGCAAAGAATCAACAACAAATATAGAAAATGATTTGAAGCAGAGACAAGGATATGGCCAATAGACAATTCAGTTTAACAGCAATAAGTCCGCAACTGGTATCAAATTTGGAGCCTAATATTTTACATCCGCAATATCGACCACAGATGACACAAGTTATTAATCTGGCCTTTTCATTCTTCAAGACCATCTCATTACCAATTAAATTGCAGCCCAAAAGTGGCGACATTGTGCAAATCATTGACTCCAAGTCACCTAAATTAAACAATAAATACAATTTCATTGAGATACTTCTCTTGTTACCAGTTATTACGTATTTTTCCGATAGGCATTTCGCTAATTTTTTATTGGGCTTATCTGTAAACCTATTGAAAGGTCGTATTTTGTGTCTTTCATTTTCGGGCACTTCCATGGCTTCCCTGTTCACATAGCACTTTGGGTCGAAATGATCCGAGCAGTCGACGCAGAAGTTGAAGTTAAACATCATTGGTGGAAAATTTGTGTTTTGTCCATTTGACACTATGAATGTCCTCTGTGAATTTTATCATGACAGTCATTTGCAATTTCAACTTACTGATTATAAGGTTAAGAACTAAAAAGGATAAAAATGTACAACAAATTTTCATTATTAAAAATGGCTCGGGTTAATTTTTGGATTAGAAATATGTTTTTTTATTTCTTCGATTGTCATTGTGACAGAATGCTTTAAATTTCAAATAAATTTCTATGAATTGCGATGTCAAATCGAATCGAATTTAGTTCCAGTTAAGCTTCCAGATAAGGTAAATTAAATAGCGGATCGATCATTATGCAATACCAAGATAATACTAAGAGGTTTTAGGTCCGACACATTCTTTTTCGGGGTTTTGAAATCGGTTAAAGGTCTGAAATTCAAAAGATTATTTGCTTTGACATCGATATAAAGTATTTCAAAGCTGCTGGCTTTCTTAATGTTGTAAGAAATCGATATTTATCGATAAATTGAGCTGACAGCAAATGCTGATGCGATCCGCCATCGTGAAGCGCTCGTCTATTATGCCTTTTGACCGCAGGAAGTAGACATTTTAGATCAGGTTATCTTTGCAATCTGGGTCAATCAAAGCCGCACAATCAACACACATTCATTGTTAGTCTGCCCATTTCATGCTATCAAATGATGTGTTATTTATTTATTACTAGAAAAGCAACAAATATTATGGAAAGAATATCAAATTTTTCCATGATTAACACTGAACTGAATTCGATTTGTTTGTTTTCTTTTTTTGTTTTGTAGCCTGCTTCTATCTATGATAAATTAGACGTCCTCTTTCAAGGGATTTTTTATAGCCCAGCAAAAGTTTGACGTTATGACGTTATATTTATATTATTATTATTATATATATATGTATGCATTATAATTGTGTTGCATAGAAAATGCGGGAAACCCGCTGAGTACAAAGCTCAACTTAGAGCCGCAAGTCGTGATAAGGCAGATAACGCGGCATACGTATATTTTTTGGGAGAGTGGAACGGGCGTGTTATCAGCATCAGTGTATAGCAGCTTTGGGACCACCCAAATATAGCGATGAGATAATCTCACGTACTGTGTGAGACCCATGCGATAAGGTCTCTGCAAATCGGTTCAAGGCTGTAACATACGCTCCCAAATTTAAGATCTCAATTGTAATCAATTAGTAAGCAGCGATTGTAAATTAGCAAACGTTGACAGTTCGTCTCTCTCCCTCTCCCTCTCTCTCACTTTCTCTTTTTCCTCTATCCCCCTCACTATCTCTCTCTCCCTCCCTCTCTCGACAACTCACTCTCTCTCTCTCTCTCTCGCTCTGTTGGTGTTGAGCTTATCGCCCTGGGCCCATGTCAAGGGCTATCAATGCGCCCTGAGCCGGCATCGCGGCATCTCGGCACCGGCTGCAGTAGCTGGCCTCTATCTGAGTTTAATGGGCCGTTGTCATTATTCGCTCGCATCTCAGACGTCCAGCAACGGTCCCGCTGAGCGGTTGGTCGGACGGTCGGACGTACGCACCCAAGTAGTATTATTAACTAGGAAAAGGAAGAGATTATGTTCCCGCTGCTGTTGAGCCGCACCGTTTTCGTTGTCTGCCGCTGCTGTCTGGTGGAGCAGCCGACGCTCTGCCACAGCATCGGCGACAACCAGCAACTGAGCATCGAGCTGCTCGAACTGGTGCCCAATCTAGAGATCAAGCCCAGCGATGTCATCTGTCAGCTGTGCCTGCATCGTCTGCACGACGCTCTCGAGTTCCGGCAACGCTGCCAGGACTCGGAGCGGATTCTGCGCGCCCGCCACGAACAGGCACTCGACGATGCCCTCGAGTGTCTGGAGCGGGAAGTCGGTTGTCTGGAACAGGCCAAGTCCACGTCCATGTCATCGCTAGGCGATCCCGTCGATTTCGGTGTGTATAACGAAAGTTGAACTGAGACTGAAAGTAAAACAAATATTTTTCTCATTTCAATTCATAAGAAGAACTGAAAACTAAAATCATTTTGTAATGATTTCTAGGCACCTTGGATCTGTCGGATACATTTGAGAGCAGCTATGAACCAACAAACCGGACAACGTCCTCCGTCAGCTGGGACTCGGGCATACTGAACACGCCCATCCATTTGCCAGCCTCGCTGGAACAGCTGGAACAACAACAACAGCAGCAGCAGGAACAAAGCAATACAATTGAAGGATCTATGGATACCAAACCGAAGCGGAAGCGAGCGCCACGGAAATCTGCGGGAACTGTGCCCCGGAGTAGGCCGCACAAATCGATGCGTCCTTGCCCCGAGTGTGGCAAGAAGTATACGCGTAACTCACAGCTCAAGTCGCACATGTCGTCGGTGCACAGAGTGGGCGATTGCCTCAGCTACGATTGCACCGTGTGCTCAAAGCGATGTGCCTCGCTGCACGGCCTGCGCTATCACGTGAGATCGGCCCACTCGATGGAGCGACCCTTTTCCTGCGAAATCTGCGATCGTCGCTTTGTGCTGCGCACCCAGCTGATCTCGCACGCCCGCGTCCATACGGGCGAGACGAAGCCGCGGATCTTCAATTGTAATATGTGCAAGAAGACGTGGCCAACGAAATCGGATTTGCGCACACATATGCGATCCCATGACCCGGACAAGTCCAAGCGGCCATTCAAATGTGATAAATGCGAGAAGGCATTCTTTACGCGGGGCCATCTCAATTCGCATCATTTGGTGCACACCGGCGAGAAGCCCTTCACCTGCACATACTGTGACAAGTCGTATCAGAGTATTGGCAATCTCAACAATCACATGGCTCGAATGCACACCAATCCGGGCAAGGATCACCAATCGAATCTGAACTACAACAGCTCCATGGATATGGAAACGTGAGAGGAACTCAAATCGTGGATTAGAACCAAAAAAGTAAATTAGGTTTGCCTTTTTCAAATATTTTCCAATTCTATACATAAATTATTCTAATCTCCCCAAAAAACAAATTATTAAAATACTAAATAGCTTTGAGAGCATTTTTACTTGTTTTTTTTTTTTTTTTTTTCTTTTCTTTTCTTTTGATTTTTGTTTTTTTTTGTTTTGTATACATAGTACCCACTATCAACGGCTTTAATCAAAACAAGTGCCTGGCTGTCTGACCGTAAACAAACAGATGAGAGCGAGGAGAGAGGGCAACCAGAGTAGACAGAGACAGAGACAGAGCAGACGCTCAGCAAAGATAATTTGTGATTGTGGGCCGCACTTGCTTCAATTACAAAGCCGACCACAACACAACAACAAAAAACACAAACAACAACGTGATATGTCATAATTATGGGCCTGACTTGAGGCTCACAAAAAAGCAACAAAAAAAAAAAGAAAAATAAGAATAAGAAAAGTGTTAATCCAATTAAGTTTGATTTAACACCGGGAAGTGACCGCTGACTGGCCTAGGTCAGCGTTTCGTTTGCGGACAGTGGAGGCAAAGCAGATCAGGCGAAAGTGCAAACAAGAATGTTGGGAGGCAAAGAGTTCTCCAACTGAGTCACAAACGATAAGCGACAGCGGTGCATGATAACCCTGTCACCCTTTTTAGGTACCAGGAAAATAATAATAAAAAATAAAAAAAATATAAAAAAAAATGCAGCTCGATGGGCATTTCTTTATAGTTATTATTTACATACTTACACTTGCACATATTTGTACAATATGCATTGTATTTACTCACTGTCTCAGCGCCCCGGCCAATTAGTCATAAGGCCGACGGGTGCGAGAACGTGTCCTCCCATCCCGCCTCAGACATTGACCCAACCCAATGTTATAGCTGATGGTCCGCTTTGTCAGCCTTTGTCTCTGGACCATCACGTCACTCAGCCTGACGTTGGGTTCTGGCTACGTGATCTGTGCGTTCTAGTTGGGCTTGGTTTTATTGTTCCCCAAAAATAATGCGAGATAAGAACAAATTCATTGAAATGATTTCAATTTTCATGATAACAAAATGTACACACAAAAGTATCTTAAAATTTCTTGATTACTAATCATTTTTAACAATTTCCTGTTATTTTCAATATGACCATACAAAAATTTCCTATTTTACTTTCACCTAAATTTGTATATATATAAAAACAAATAGGTTTATTTTTAGAACTCTTCCCCAGCCGAAAATAATCTGCGTAAATATTGTATTGTATTTGTGACTTTCACTTGGCCTTTCTAGTTTATAGATTCTATTTTATTTTTAGCACTTTGTTCTATATATGTGCACACGTCTGTTCCATTTTCAGTTTATTATAATCTATAGTTCTTACGCTGCAGTTTTAATTTACTAATATGAAATTTATAAATTGAAATTACTCAAAATAGCATTGAGTGCTTCTCTCGTATCTCGTATCTCGTGGCTCTCAATAATCTTTCTCCCAACGTATCTCAATAATATTGTGTGTTAAACAAGCGATTCTCAAGTAGATATTACCAACTATCAAATATATAATCCCACTCTAAGGGTGAGTCTATCGCCAACGACCATACTACGCTGAATACATCGGTTCTCGTCCGATCACCGAAATTAAGCAGCGTCGGGCGTGGTTAGTACTTAGATGGGGGACCGCTTGGGAACACCGCGTGTTGTTGGCACCCGTCCAAAAACACTTTTTTGCTACACAACAGCAATCATGTTATTTTTTTAATTTTAGTTATTATTCTGTTTATTTTGTACAGAAAATGCATATCCTCTTATTTTGATAATTATATTAAATCTGCAATAAATATATTGAAAATATTTAAAAAATAGATTTCATTTAGTTTTCAACACATTATTAATATTGGAGCAATTCATTTTAAACTATATACGAACTTGGGGGATGGCTCAAAACTTCCCTTGCCTTAGCTTTGTCAAAAACCAACCTATTTTCTAAAGCTATATCTTCTCAATACTAGTTTGGCCTCTAGAAATCTGCTGAATTTAAATATGGAACTCCTGTAAAAACTGCCAGCATATCTTTGAACTTCCATTATTGATGCAAAACAGATGTGCCTCGCATAAAAACAAGCCTTAAACGTTCATCTTTCATTTATTTACACAATAACAACAATCTTATTTTGGTGAGGGATTTATCTCATTTCTGGTTGAAGAGCAGTCGACTCAGCTGCGACTGTTGCTGGGCATAGTAGCTGGAATTTGCAGGCTGCTGGGTGTCGAGAGCGGATTCGGGTGTCACAGACTGACGCACCAGTTCCCTGAGGCTGGCCGAGATCTTGGCAGTGCGAAAGCGGGCCTCGTGTCGCCGCTGGCGGGTGTCGACAAATCGCTGCGACTGCTGCCGCTTGCGCTGGATGTCGTGCTGCAGTTGCTCCCGCTTTAGACGCTCCAGTTGCTGGCGCTCCCGCCAGTGTTCCTCGTGCTGCAGCTGCTCCACTTGATTGTCGTGCTGCAGCCGCCGCAAATATCCTTCGAGCAGCTCATTGCGCAGCTCATCCGCTCGCCTCAGGCGCTCTGTGAGTCGCATGCAGGTGTCCCGCTTCCGCAGTGTTGCGTCCAGCTGCTGTTCCTCCTGCTGCAGTGTGACGGCCTCGCTGCGTCGCGACTCCTCGTAGCGACGCTGACACAGCACCAAATCCCGTTCCAGTCGCATGGCCTGCAAACGCTGCTTGGCCGCCGCATCCTTGGCATCGAGTGCGCCGCGCAATCGTCGCAGTTCCGCCAGATCCCGTTCGGCCAGCGCCTGCAGACGCGCCTTGGTCAGCAGATAGTCCTGAAACTGTTTGTCGTGCACCGCCTGTTTGTACTCCTCCAGTTGCTCGCACTTGAGCAGCTGCTGCTCCAGTCGCTCGTTCTCCCAGTACTTGCGCGCCAGCCAGGCGTGCTCCTTGTCCGCCGCCTGCTGGCTCCTCTTCACCGCCATCCGATTGAGTATCTTCTGGTCGTGCTGTGGCACCTTCTCATAGGCCGCCCGCACCGTCGGCACCAAACACAAATTGGCCATCGACGCGCACAATTGCGACTGCGCCTCGGATTGTGCCAGCGGCACCAGCGCCATATTCTCCTGCGATCTGGACTTGGCTCGGCTGCCGCGTATCGCCAGCGTCGCCGATGCATCGAGGCCGAAAACAGTCTGCAAGAAATATGCAAATAAATATAGATAAAATATATATATATATAAATAACTCTACTAAGAAAATGTCTAGCTTTCAAATATTATTTATTATCGCAATGATTTCATATTATTTTCATTTAAACTTTTTTCACTAATTTTCTTTGTCTCAGATGGAAGCAATCAGTGTAGTGCACAACGTTTAAATTGTGACTTTAATTTATTTTTACTGTCTTATACACTTTTTTTAAATTTCTCATATTTTTCTTCAAAGGTTTTAAGTTTCTTAGTTTTGCCGTTTATTAAAATCTGTTGATTTGACCAAGATTTTAATTCCCTTTGCATCAATGCCTCTGAGTGCTTATGTAGCTCGTAGTTGTGTGAGTACCAAAAGTATCTCAATAATATTGTATGTTAAATAAGAGATTCACAAGTGGATATTACCAACTATCAAATATATAATCCCACTCTAAGGGTGGGCCTATCGCCAACGACCATACTACGCTGAATACATCGGTTCCGTCCGATCACCGAAATTAAGCAGCGTCGGGCGCGGTTAGTACTTAGATGGGGGACCGCTTGGGAACACCGCGTGTTGTTGGCACCCGTCCAAAACACTTTTTTTCTTAAACTTTATTTTCTTTTATGGCAAAACACTTTCTTTCCATAACTACAAATGTATTGCGCTTGAGCTCTTGTCAAGTATCGCGATTTTTATATCTTATCTTGGGCAACTCACCTGCAGCATTTGGCAATCTCGCAGTGCACCCGTTGGCCGCTTTCCACGCTGCTTAATCTGTGTTGTTGTTGCAGTTGTTGTTTTTGTTGTTGGCTGTGGCTGCAACGGCAGTTGCAGTTGCAACTCCTCCTGCGGCTCCTGCTGCCTGGACTGACTGCGCTGGCTGCCCGCGCTCTTGGACCGTCTGGCGCTGGAACCGCGACGTGTTTCCTTTCTTGCTGCTTTGGCCTCGGCGGTTGGCGATTTGGAAGCGCTTCGTTGTCTGCTCAGACTTCTGGGCTGCTTTTGAGCACTCTCGCTGCGCTGCAGTTGCTCCAATTGGCGTATCTCTAGCTCCAGCTGGTGCAGCTCCTCGCGTCCGCTGGCATTGCCGCTGCTGTGCGAACTGTAGCAGTCGCAGTGGCAAATGTCGCAGCAGCTATCCGTTAGCTCCAGCTCAGCCAGCAGCTGCTGGTGTTGTTGTTGTTGTTTCTGTTGTTGTTCCGCCGCCGCCGCTCGACTTTTGCTGCGTCGCTTTCGCTTGGGCGTCATTCTCTTGCTGGCATTGCCTCCTCCTCCTTGGGGATGCGGGTCAAACTTCAAACTGCCACAAATTTCTATGCATTACAATTGCAATTGGTGTGCGACTCTCCCTTTTTTTGTTATTTTTTATTATTTTTTATTATTTTTTATTATGATTTCTTTGGGCGCTTCTCGTCAATGCGCTGCTCGTAAACCCAAATTCCAGCGCAGCTCTGCGCTAACATTTTTCCTGCTCCGCATTTTGCGCTTTTTTATACGTTTTGTTTACTTTTTTATTGATTGCCCGCTCGTCCCGTTGCCCCGGACAACCCACAAAAAAACAACCAGGGCCAGCCAAGTTATTGGAGTTATTTTTGTTTTGACTTTGGGTGGCGCTTTTTGGCAAACTAACATTTCCATTGACGAGGCTTTCGGTTAGAGCTCCTCGTTTAGAGCCATTAATGCCGGAAATTAGCTGTGCCAATTAGAAAAAAAAACAACAAAAAAAACAGAAAAATGTGAAAAGTGAAAGTGCAGCAAGTTTTTATCAAGCTGCTAAAACTGCACACACGCAATGGAAATGTGCCACAAATTTTCACTATTGCCACAATTTGTTTCACACTTTTAAGGCAGATAAATACATATCTCAATTGTAAGATTTAATTTAATGTTCATTTCAGTGTTAATACTTTGATATGCCAAGAAAGTTTATAGTCATGTCAAGCCTAAATACATTCGTCATTTCAAAATCCATTTAATATCTGTATATATATATTTCAATTAAATTAAATAATTAATTTGGTATACAGTTGTTTTGGATTTACGTATATATATATATATCAATATAATGATAACATTATGCAATAAATAACACACACGAAAACGCTTAAATTCCCATAACAAAATGCACAAACTTAGATAAATATGGATATACATCATCATCATTATCTTTCTTTCAAGGAATGAACTAACTGTCAAAAAGAAAATCGAGAATATTCTTTAGCTTATACATGATTGATGAATGTTTATGGAAACATTTCCGTTTTTCTTTTTTTTTGAATCGGGCTAGCTAATAATTTACAAACACACACAATAATTACACACGCACACAATTTTTTTACACCATCAACGCTCTTGTCTTAATACTGACGACAATAACAATTGGAAATCATATATACAACAACAACAAATCCAAATCAAAATCAAAATTCTCTTTAGCTTTAAATTCTAGTAAGTAATATTGCTCTGTACTGTTCTGTTTGAGGTTAGTTGAGGTATGATATTTAGACAGAAAAAACAACAAATATGAAAAAATAAATGCATCTTTCTGTTGAAGTGCGTCTATTCGAAAACTAAAGGTATCGAGGTAAATGGAAGCACTGGACACGACGGCTCCAATTGCAGCGACGTTGAAAAGCAATCAGCGGATGCATTAAAATCACCCAAAGTCTCCATCACTTGGCCCAAAGCAAACCTGTTCAGATATACGAGATAATTGTAAATCGTGGCCAAGTTTGACTGACAGTTTTGTCTGCTATTATTTACCATATCTTTGGGCAATTCGGATCCAATTTGGCAGCATCTTTGAGCATCTTTTCGGCCAAACGCGGCTCGCCGAGCATCAAATGGGTTTCGCCCAAAGCGCGCAAAGCTTCCGTATGATTTGGATTGGCGGCGACGGCATTCAGGAAACATTGTTTGGCCTCCCGCCACTGCTCCAAATAGACATGAATCTGACCGCGCTGTAAAACAAGGATGCAAAGGATAAACAGTTTTCTAGATTGCAGTTCAGCTCCCAGTTCAGTTTTGTTTTACCCACCATAAACATTATTTGATGAGAGAGCGGATAGATTTGGGTAGCTTCGTGGATGCAATTTAACGATTCATTTGGCTGATCAATTTGCATATAGACATCGGCCAGCAGCAGCCAAATCTGATGAGTAAAAACTCAGATTAACATCTGTAATATATATTGATGATATATAGAGAAACTAACCTCAATTTGCAGCATCCAGGGTCGTCGTGGTCCCGGCCGCTGTGTGAAGGAGCTCAGCGAGCTGGCTGCCTCGCTCAAGGCTTGCTCCACGCGTGACACTGCAGCGAGCGAAGCGGCATAGACGGAATCTTGAGGAGGCAACAACAACAACAACAACAAGTTGAGAATTATAGCAAAAACAATGCAAATGCAACAAACAACAATTCAAATTGTAACTATAAAAAAAACCAGTGAAATTGTGTGTTAGCTAAAAAGTTACAAAAGTGTAAAAGTTACAAAAATCAGAGATTTGATTAGGAAAATCATGCGAAAGGATGCAAATTTATAGAGCAGGCAGAGAGAAAAAGGAGCAGAGAAACTACCAGAGAGAGAGAGAGTGAGTGATTAAGAAGAGACAGAGAGAAAGAGAGAGACTTAAAAGCGACGCAAAGCGTAAATTGAAAGCAAAACGTTTTAGACACTTGCAAAGAAATATTCCATTTTCAATTGTATTTTTGTGAAACTCCTCAAAAATATACAAAATTTTATCTTTTTTTGGATGGTAAGAAAAGATTCAATTATAAATTTGTTCAATTTCTAGGAATACTAAAAAACTTCTTGGTTTTTATTTAAAAATTATCTATTTTTCTACAAATTATCAAGAAAAATCCTATTTTTTCAAGTCTCAATAATATAAATTAAAGCCCAAATATTTTACATGAATTATTTAAGCAATTTATCATATTAATATTATTATTATTAAGCATCGTTTTGAAGTTTCTTTTGGGCCATCAATTTCCAATCATCTTTGCTGATTTCTGATTTGTTCTTCAACAAAATCTTTGACGATGTCAAAAATCCCCTAAACTGTTTAATATAATTTCTAATTCAAATACTTTGCAAGTGCATAATTAAGATCGATTCACCGAACTTTCAAAACTTTTAATTAAATTCGCAGTTGAGACTTACAATTATGGTTTTTATGGTTTTTTAAGAATTTGGTGTGGTTTTTTTTGTTTTTAGTTTTTTTTTTTTTGTTTTGTTTGAGACAGACACATTCCGCAGAAGTTGGGTAGAGTTACATAGATGTCATAGATGTTTGTATATATATATATATGTATATATAAATGTATGTAGGTGTGTGTGTGTGTGTGTATATATAGAACATATTTATAGGCATTATTAAGAGTCGATGAGTTTTGATAGATAAAGATTTTGGGATGCGTTTGGAGGGCAAAGGAAAACTTACTCGAATCCTTGTCGGACATTTGGGATGAGTGCACCAAATGGACACCGCTTTTGGTATCCGAATGCTTCTCCTCCTCCCCGGCCAGCTGTGCCTCGTACACATCCCGCCAAACGGCAAGCATATGTTGCACCGTCGACAGCGCCGTCTCCGCATCCTCCAGATTCAGCTGTAGATGCGCCTTGACATGCAGCAACTGGAGATTATCGGGAAACTCATGCAGTGCATCCTCGATGACACCCAACGCTTCGCGCGGACGTCGCGAGGCAGTCAGCAGCAGAGCGAATAGATGCAGACATGGGGCATGCTCCATGCGCAACGCGAGCGCAAAGCGTATGTGACTCAAAGCATCGCCCAGCTGATTGATGAGCGCATATTGCAGCGATAGATAATATTCGGCCAGATGATCGTTGCCATCCTGCTGCACGGCACGCTCCAGCGACTCCAGTGCCAGTTTATTGTACGCATCCCGTTCGCTCTTCAATGTGGCCTGAATGGCCAGCTGCTGATGGCCAATGCCCACAAACAGTTGACTGCGCGATGGACGCAAACCTGGGCAGGATGACGAGACGAGATTGTCATTAAAGCATGGGAACATTTTCAACATGGATTCAATGGACTCACCCTTCACCTCACGCTTGAGCGCCTGCTGGGCATAGTCCAAGCCCTGCTTGACCGTCTCCAGGCTCTCGTAGCACAGCCGGGACGCAAGCAGACACGGCAACGGATCACTGGGCGTCAATTTCATCGACTCCTGGAGCACACACAGCGCATGCGAATGCTTCTCGGCTGCCATCAAACTGAGACCGTATTGCCGCCAGACATGCTGCTCGCCAAAGCTAAACTTCAATGCCTTCTCGAACGATTCGTTCAGCAGCTGGACGAGACCCCAGCGGATGGTGGCCAGTGTGAGCAGATCATAGACAGCGGTCACATTGCCCATGGCATGCTGGCGAACCGAACGAAACTCGGGACTCTGCGAGAGGACAGTGTCACGCACCGCCAGTGCCTCGGCGATGAGCAGCAGCAGTATCACCTCCTCCTGCTGGTTGCGTGGCATAAACTGCTGACGCGTCTCATATTTGCGTGGCTTCCACAAACGTTTGGACGACGAACCACCACCGCCGGCACCACCCGAACGCAACGTGCTGCCGCCCGTTTTGCTGGTGAAGGGCGGCGCATAGATTGTGCCCGAGACACCGCGCAGCAACACCTCGGCCAGCTGGCGAGCGAGTGTCAAGCGCAACGATTGCGTTGCTGGCGTATCGACTGCATTGAGCATGATCCGATAGCGGTCCACGGCCAAATGCAATTTGCCCGCCTTAATTAACACAATTGGGGCACGTTGCAGGGCCGTCTCTAGGATGACACCCATGCGTCTGTGGCTCTCCAATATGGCGCCGCTGCTCGCCATGCTGCTGCTGCTGCTGATGGCAAAGCTGCTCGCCGATTGCTGCACGCCACTGTTCACGTTGAGCGTGGAGCCATGCGTCGAATTGTTCGACGAGTTCGAATTGTTGCTCATGCAAAATATCTCATATTCCTGCAGATACAGCAATCCCAGATCCGTGGCACGCTCAAAGCAGGTGATCTGGGTACATTTACATTACAGATCGAGCAGTTATAGATCATCATTCATGTTGCACTCACCATTTCCGTATCCTTTTCGGCTTTTTTGAACTTGGATGTGGGCTTGGAGGACTGCTGTTCCAAGCACAGACCCTTAATCGCATACGATTCGGCCAGAATCTTGAGACTGCGTCTATTAAAATAGATAGGGGATTTTTCTTGAATTAGGATATGTATATATATAGATATATAGATATTCACTTACAGGGTCAACACTTGTTCGGCCAGCGTATTCAGTTCGGCTTTGACAAAGTTCTCCAGGCTCTGCTCGTATTCGCCGCAGGCATAACACAATTTGGCCAACAGCAAATAGGCATCCAAAGCGACGCCCGCCTTTTGGCCACTTTCGCCCAGGGCCAAATTGAGATAACGTCTTGCCTCCGACAGACTGCTTTTGGCGCGACTAAAATTCGATTCGGCGGCCACTGCATGCTCCTCCAAATAGCTTTCCAGACGCGCTTCGCCCACCAAAAAGTTTGCAAGGCTCTCTAACAAAATGGTGGATGAAGTGGGGGGGGGGGGGGGGGTATGAAAATACTATATTGACAGCTGTCTATTTTTGGATTTACCGTTTTGTGGCGATCCCGTTTTGAGCTCATCTGTCAGCTCGATGACGCGTTGCCATTTACCCTTGCTGCGGCAATTCTCGATTAGCGCCTCGCCTTTGGTCGCATTGCGCGTTCGATTGGACATTCTTATCTAAGGGGAGCACGTGACGACGCACACGCTTTCGCTTCAGCTTTCAGTTTTTCTTGTTCCAATTTTGGGCTTTACAAAATTTATATTATTATTAATTCGATTAACAATTTTTCGCAATACACGCACACAAAGCGACACACGTACACACATGTAAGTGTGGCCAAAATGAGCAGCGTTGCCACCCGATTCGATTTCAAGGTTAATTGTAGTTTGTTGTGCTCACTGCTTATTGTTACAAGTTTAGCATATGCCATATTATTGTTAAATAAACTCAATCTTCTTTCACTTTTTACTCACATTCAATGTATATACACAGAACAATACTTTAAACTCATGTCGTCACGGTCGCTCTCCCCACAGCTGAGTTACTCTAATGAACGTGCGCAGAGAGTTACCTTACAGCCAGCTCCATGACAAGGCTACCATTGTACAAACAGCTGATTGGCAATCGCTAGGCATTTTTAGTCATTTGCACTAGAAAAGTGGTATTTGTTGGTACTTTTTGTGGTATTTTTTCGCATGTACTGTGTCAGTCACACCGTTTGCAGTTGTAATTTTGTTGTTGTGCGATACGCACGCGTTGTGCTCGAGTTTTCAGCAAACGAAAAAGAATTTAAAGCAAACAGAAGTGCGGCATTTTGGTGAAAGCAAAGAAAAAAGCGTATTCAAACGTGCTCTGTGCGTAAATTGAACAAAAGTAAATGAAGCGGAACTAAGAGGGAATGAGAAGTGAAGTAATTGAAATTAAAGATTGCTCTTAATTGATAGCCATCAAGTCTAATCGCTGGCCCACAGTCATTTAACTAACGGTAAGCTATTTGCGTCTGTTTATATTTTGTAATTTAGCTAAAAGCACCAATACATGCGCACACGCCCCAAAAGCGCAGTGTGACCAAAACGTATAGTGTGGCTGTGTGTGAGTGTATGTGTATTCAAGTGCCGCCGTTTTGGCTAACGCTCAGCTGTTTAGTTAGCTGTCGTTGTGTTGTTGTGGACGCCGCTACAGCGATACACACACACACACTGCATGCTTGCGTGTAGCTGTGCATTTGCCAGTGTGCGTGTGTGTGAGAAAGTGAGAGTATTTTTAACTATATTAAATGCAGCAGGGCACTCACTCACACACACACACGCAACGCTCTTTCTAATTGGAAAGCTGTCACACACAGTCAGATGCTTGAGCTTTTGATTTGCATAATTTTACTGCTCTCCTCGCTGACATCTTGTTCAAGTTCAAATTGCAGTTAATTTTTTATTTTCTGTCAATTTTACGCTCCATTTGAGCGGTAACAGAAAAAAACAGTGCTCAGCGTTTATCGCGTGCCTTGTCAAACGTTAAGTTAATTGCCCAAGTTTATTTATTTTTTTGCATGTCAACTGGCCGCATGGGCGCCCCACATTAGCTATTCATTGCATGCTTTAACAATAAAAATAACAAATTATTACATAAAGCATTTAAATGCACATACAAAAGGCACAAGCAAATAAAAATTCATTAAATTGCAAAACAAAAAAAGAAGAAAAACGCAAGCAGAGCGCGCCAAATTAAAATGTCAAAGAAATCAAGAAGAACGGCAACGCCACCGTTTGCGTCTGCGTGTATGTGTGTGTGGTTGAGAAGGGAAGAGAGCGCAGCTTTCAGCAGCAGCAGCAGCGGTTTTGCATGCTTATGACGTAATGACAATAATTACAAGGCAAACAAGTGAGTGAAAGAGTGAGAGAGATGTAGTGGGAAGTATTAAAATGACAAATAAAGGCTGCGCACAGTGGTGCGCTTCTATGCTAACAACTGTTGAATCTTTAAGTGTGAATGAGAATTAAGATGCTAAAAATATGAATTAACAAATAAGCATATTGTATGCATGTGTGTGTGTGTAAAGTATGTACTAATGTTATTAACGAGTTGGGCACAATGAGAGTCATAGAAGAGTTTGCTTATCAAATATTAAATTACAATTTTACAGAAATAACTCGGAATGCTACTGCTGCACTGTGCAAAAAGCAACTCTCATTTTGACTGTTGTTGCTCTGCTCTGCACTGTCAGCAGGTGGCTGCAGTGTTAGTGTGTGTGTGTGTGTGTGTGTGAGGGGGGGGGGGACAGACTTCAATTGTTTGGTGCTTAGGGGCGTCATAGCGGCCATTACAGAAAAACATGCATGCTGCGCTTAACGGTATATGCTCGCCTACGGTTGCCCTCAAGCACAGGCGAAGATGTGGGACACAGACAAAGTACTAGAACTGATGTGGGGCAGACTGGCAGGCTGGCAGTCAGTCTCTGCATAGCGTGTGCTAAAACGATTGCGAATCGAAACATGTTCGCTCGCTCCCTCTCCGAATCTCTTCATCTTATTTGCTGTATGAAACATTTGGTTTGTGAAACGAACATTAGCCAGCCACGTTTTTAAACTGTGGTCGGTTTTTGTTGTTGTTGTTGTTACTGCAGCTACTGCTGCTGTGCTTTGCTCTGCTCTTCTTGTTACCGTTTCAATTATTTTCGTCGTCGTCAATTGTGCGCACATTTCTTGTGACTTTTACGTACACTTGTTTTGTGTTTTGTGCGGCGTTTGTTTACATTTTGCTGTCACGTTTTGTTGCTGGAGCTTTTTTTATTGCGTATAGCACATATTTTTATTTGCATGCGACGTTTGGTGTTTGGGCTTTGCGCATTTCGTGTTTTTATTTGCTTGTTGCTTTGATGACAGGTAGCTCAGCTTTACTGTCTCTCGCTCTCTCTCGCTCCATTCCACCCCCTCAGCCACTCATTAAGCTGACGTGCTTATGTCCTTAAGTGCAGCTGTTCTTTGGATTTGCGCTGGCTTTACTTGTATACCCTGTAAAACATTTTTAGAAAAGGGTAGCACGAGTGCAATAGAGTAGAAAAGATTCTAATCAAATATTATTATATTAAACACAAATTTTAATATCATTGGACTAGTGATCTGTGTATCATATCATTTAGTGCAATGATACTAAATTTTGTGTAAATATGAAATGATTGTAGATGATATACACAGATCATCTACTAGTCGAGCATGGTCAACTTTTAGTAATTTTCTATCATTTTTTCTATGCTTTACCTGAATTTGCCTTTCAAGTCACGCGCTCTCTCTCACTCTGAAGTCTTTTGGGCACGTAACTCTTTATGTTTTGCGCATCTTTTTATGTGCTTGCTTTGTTAATGCTGCCAAACAACTCGTCTCTCTCTCTCTCTCTCTTGCTCTCTCCATAAGGATTGCATGTTCTTTTGGGCATTTTGATGAACACATCTTGTTGCTCCCCCTCTCTCTCTCTCTCAGCTTAGCAAATTACAAGATGTCAAAGGCTTTAGTTTCGTTAAGTTCTTTTCTTTTTGTTTCTCGGTTTCTGCTTTTGCTCTTTAATCTACACTCTTCAAGCAGAAGTTGACCTCCTTTTTGTGGTGGGCGATTTCTAATGAATCCGCCACACACTCTCGACGAGTAGTGGAGAGCAACATTTGCTGACTTTGTCTACAATTTCATAGGATATATTTTTTTGAGCTTTTTGTTTTATGCGTCTCGTCGCGTTTCGTCCCATTTCGTTTCGTCTGCCCTTTGCCCGTTTCTTCAAACATCATAAACATGGCATACATTTTACTTACACACATATACATATGTATGTATGCATGTGTGTACTTATGTGAATGTGCGTGTGGATATCCGTATATATTTGTCAGCATCTTGCTTTCTGTTTGTAACGACCACACCCACCCACCGTGTCTTGCCCCCTCTGCCACCTCTTCACCCACACTTTTTATTGCACACAGCGCGACTATCAATAAAGTTCGATTTATCTGTCTCTTCCTCTCTATCTCCGTGTGTTGCTGCGTATGTGTGTGTGTGTGTGTGTGTGCAAGGCTCATAAATCAAGTTAAACTAAACAAAAAGCAAAAAAAGGGAGAAAGAACAATTATGTTTGATGGGTTGACGATTAAATACCCTTGTAAGCATTAGGACAAAATGAATGATTTATTTTTATTTATTTTACATTACTTATTTTGTGAAAGTATTAAAAATTATATTAAACAACTAAAAAAATGAGTATTACTGAAAATATTTGCATCACTTCAATGTGCTCTCCATTTAAAAATTGCGTACAGGGTAATGGCAAGAATAATAATAAAGGCAGCAAAGCAGCAGTAAAAGCAAACAAATAAATTTATGTTTGGCACTTCTTACAACGCTTTATGCCAATATTTCTGCCATCGCCCACCTTCTACATATATCTTCTCTATGATCACATCTCTCCCGACCTGCTCGCACCCATTCGGCTTCTACTAGAACAACAAAAAAGCGCTGGCAAAGCACACAACGACAGCAACAAAAACAACAAGAAACGATGACGACGCTTGACTTTGACGTCGCTGCTGCTGCTATCTTTTTTATACAACTATTTTTAAAAGCAGCAGCAGCTTACTCACCCATACATACTTACAGTTACATATGCTTGGCTTTCTGTGTGTATGTGTGTATTACATTTAAAGTTGAAAACTTTTTTTTGCTGTGCTTTATTGCTTAATATTTCATAGTGCCTTCCCTGCAACCAACACCTCCTCTCCCTCCACTTACCTACACCACCCGCTGTCAATAAAAAAAAAAGTTATGACACCCCTTCTTTTCTCACTCGCATTCTCCGCCCGTCCGTCTTCTCTCACTCTTTCACATTCAATTTCTCTTGCAATTCTTTTGCACAAGCTCAATTTTGTTGTTGTTGTTTTTGTTGTTGTTTTTGTTGTTGTTGTTGAGTTAAAGTTGCCATCGACTTTGAGTGCGAAAGAAGAGGTACGAAGAAGAAGGAGACAGAGGACGAGTGATGAGATATTTGTAACTGAGCTAAAAACTTTTTATAGCCTTACAATTTTTAATAGCAATCCAAAGATTTTATTCGTGTGTAGAAAGTATTTGCACAATTTGAGTCGCTTACTTTCCGTGTGTGTGCTCATTCATTATTCGCATACATAAATTTAAAAAAAATGAAATGGAATATTTGTTATTTTTTTCCCCCACATTTTTGGCAGTTTTTTACTTACTCCTCGCCTAAAGTTTTCCATTTTATTTCTAAATAAATGACATCAACAACATTTTGTACATAATTTATAAGAACAGAAAAACAAAACGAAAACAGCAAAAACAACAACAACTACACGAAGAAACATGAATGAAAAGCAGCGGAAAACTAAAAATACGAATTTATATGCAAAACACTTTTAACTTGCTTGAATTTCTAACATTTTTCGCCAGCTTCATTTCTCTCTCTCCCTGTGTGTGTTGTATCATCTGCATACATATGTACATACATATATATATAGTCTTCATTTGTGTGTGTGCTCAAAGCTCCCACTGAGCAAGCAAGCCTGCAACGATAAATGACATTTGACTGCGTCGGCGGCATTCATTCGTTACTCGCCTATGGCTGTCTGTCTATGTGTTTGTGTATGTGTGTGTTTGTGCTCAACGCTCAGTTGCCGCCTTCCATCTCCCATTTGTCCCATTCAGACCGCAGTTGTCGCCCCACTTAGCGCTCTCCCACACAGCGGCATTTTTTTGCTTTTTATTTAGTTTGCTTGTTTTTTTTTTGTACTCGTATATTCATTTGCATTTTTATGCGTCGACGTCGTCATCGTTGTCATCCGTTGTTGCTATTTTATTTACTCTACATATTTTTGTGTATGTATTTCTCTTGACTCTTCCTTTGTTTGTCTTTTATTAGTTGTCATTATTTGTTGCAGCTCAATTATAGTTTTTCTGCTCCGGCTGCGCATATTACATATTATTTTAGATTAGTTTTTAAGTACATATTTAAATGCGGCAGATCGATAGATATAAAAATGTGCATGAAATGCACGAAAGTGAAACGCAATGGAATTGACACACTGACTGCCTGCCACCTGGGTGGAAGGAACGAGAAACGAGGTATATGATATTTAAATGAAGTCCTGTTTATAAATTAAGTGCATGCGACAACTGTCAAATTGAGTTTCTTTGACACCTGTCTTCGTTTGTTTTTTGTATGGTTGCCATTTATAAAATGTTATGCTGAATTAATTACCGTGCTTAAGGGCCAATTAATTATAATTAAAACTGACAATCAATACTCACTACTACATATGTATATATAAATAATACATTTACACACACTTATGCGTATATATGTTTATTTGTGTGCACTTTCATAGCAAGCAACCTTTGTCCGTCTTCGTTTTGCACATAATTTCACTTTGAATTTTTACTTGCCAAACGTAATTTACCGCTGTTCCATTTCGTTTTCATTGTGCGCTTGAAAGAGAGGTAGACGACAGCAAGACAAGGCAAGGCTGGGCATTGTGTAGAGGAGGGAGAGCAGAGCGAGTGTAGAAAAATCAGCAGCAGCAGCAGCAGCTTACTGTTGTTACCCGCTTTGTTTTCCGCTACTGCTAGTGCTAGATGTCTGAGTCTGCCAGCTTTTGTTCGTGCCCGAGTCGTCTTTTGTCTTGTCTTTTGCATAGTTTTTAATCCACGTTAGTGCATCTGTCACTGCCGCTGTCGACTTCGCTGTCGGCGTCGCTGCGCATCATTAGCGAAGAGCTTTTGCTGTTATTCTGTTTGGATTGGTTCGGCTCGGCGTTGTTTTCAATTTGTGCTCACAAATATGCCAAAAAGAGACAGATGGGTGACCTTGACGCCATACAAAAGCAAACTGGACAAACACATACATGTACATATAAATATATCTTATGGGTATTACATTAAAATTAATAATTGAACAAATAATGAAAAAAATTGGGCTCAATTAATTCATATAAATTCTCCAAAAATAAAGTGCAATCTATAAAAATGTTTAAAACTTTATGTCGACATAGTATTTCTCATGTGTATTTAATAGCAGATTATGACACTGCATTTCTGCCTCTCATCAGCTGTTGCTGGCAGCTGGTCAACGAACCTGCGGCGCAGCAATTGCTTTGTTAACAAATAACAGCAATAGTTGTTAGTTTTTATTATCTCAACAAATTGACAACAACAACAATAACAACTATCAATAGCAATGAACTGACAACTGAAACTACATGCGAGCGAGCGCAATAGTCGTGTCATGAACATTTTTAACTACCGATACCCAACTGATGACTGCACCGTGGTGCAAAGCGTGCTTGCGCTCTGCGACTAACCAGAATTATTAACTAAAATTATTGCCAAAAACAGCAAAGCCTTCATTTTCATTTTTGGACTTTATTGGCGCATTTTGCGATTCAATCGACTCGATTAACATGCGTTACACGCATTTTCAATTTTAACGAAAACCAACAAAAACTTCGAAAATCAAAAGCAAATACTGACACACACACACACAAATGCGGTCGCACGCACTTACACACACAACAAAGCAACTAGAAATAAGCTGGCAAAAGCAACCCGTGAATCGGCCGACGACGATTTTGAAGTTGGAGTCCCAACAATGCACAGTGGTCAAAGCACACGCCAAAAAGTAACAAGAAAAAAGATGACTTTTATTTATTATAATTATTTGCATATTAAAATCAGCTCTTCTTCCAAAGTGTACCTTTCAATTTATTTGTAATCAATTTTTTCATTTGTATTCCATTGATTTGTGGCCCACTGTGTGACCCAACTTCATCGCTGCGCCGGCAAGTCGACGACCACAACTACAACTACATCGTTGTCGACTTGTGTGTGTGTGCGATAACTTTGACAACGATAAATTGTGTTATGCTGGCTGCCGTCGAAGTCGACGTCGTTCGTTCGCTTGCTCGTTCGTTTGTTCATTCGGTCGTTCGTTTGCCTGGGAAAGAAAGAGCAAGCGTGCTAGCGAGAGAAAGAGAGCGAGTGCATGGGAGGTGGGGTGAGTCTCGGTGTAAAGCGTTTTGTCGCCGCTCGCATCAAATTCGTTTGCATTGCAATCTGCGTTCGTCGTCCTTCTTCTTTTTCTGCTCTTCTGCTTCTCTTCTCTCCTCTATTCTTTCGCTGCACTTGTCGGCTTATGCGTCTGCTTGGTGCACCTCAACCAAAAACTCTCCATGTGGCAATAGCGACTACTAACTGAGTGCCGTTCAATGTGCGCTTATCACATTATATTGCTATTTATGGTTTTGCTTGCAATATTTCCTTTTCTTGTATTTTCTTTTTCATTTTTTCACTTTTCGCTTTGTGATAACATAATACGTACTACGAGCAAAACATACATAAAAACACACATACATATAAACTTGCTGTGAGCTGCGGTTATTGTTATTATTAGCTAGTTTGTTGTTGTTGTTATTGCTGCTGCGACAATTCGTTGCTGGATTTGAACGGAATGTATGCACACTAGTTCAAGTTACACTTTTTTTACATCTACATTAAGTCAACGTATTTTTTTATCTCTTTATGAAACTAAAATTTGAGTTACAATTTAATTGCGCATATTCAAATTTTAATAGTAAAAAACGCGTATCATTCTTATTGTAGTCACACTGTGCGCTGCTGGCTTTTGCTGCTTTCGCTTTTGTCGTAATTCGCTCGTTGGTTCGTTTGGCTTGTCAATAATGTAATCAATTGAGTAGTTTGATTAAAGAAATATTATTATTATTGTCGGTCATGCACTGTGCATGTGTGTGTGTGTGAGTGAGTGCTTGTATGTGTGTGTGTGATTTTCTATTACATTTGATCGTTTATTGATGTTGCATTTTGTGTCACAATTGCGGTCGCTTCTGCCTGAGCGAGGTGTGGGGGGCGTTGGGTAAATGAAAATATGATGTATTTAACATGCAACTATATATCATTGACAAGGACAATGTAACTGTAATTGCTACTCGTATTTTATTATTACGTCACAAAATATACAAGAATTTTTTTTATTTATTTACAGCTCTCATAATTCCAGACCCAGTTTTGATGTTTTTTTTTTTTGTAGAGCTCTTTCACAAACCGTGATTGATAACGGTAAGTAAACTTTTATATTTCACAGTTGTGTTGCTTCATTTATTTTATTGACTTTGCAACGTTGCAAAAACACCAACACATTTTTTTTTATGTACCATTGCTGTGCCGTTTTTTAGCTGAAACAAAAGTTTTATTATCCCATAAATTGTAGCAGTTCACAAAAAATAAATAAATCACATTTAAAGTGATTTGAAAAAATGCCAGAAAAAGTTAAAACACAACGTAATCAGATATTCAAAAGTTGTTGGTATTTAACTAAATCAGAAATTATATTTGCTGTAATCAAATTTAATTGTAAATGATTTCAAATTTACACAATTTGCTTGCTGGCAGCGTTGCCAGCGTTACAAATGTGCTTTGATGGCTGCACAAATGTCAAATAACGGTAATAATTAACTTTAGGAGATGTGTAACGAAATTAGATGAAGCCCAATTAACTTGATACGTTGTTTATGATCACCAGCGCCTAATGTGAAATGTGCGAAATATGCCAAAGGTTAAATATACACAAACACACACACACACACACAGAAACTTGAAACCTAATCAAAAAAACTTTTGCTCCATTACCCGAAAAATAATCCAATTAGCTGACACACGGTAAAAACGCATAAATAATCACAAAAATTATCATTACAAGCAAGATGTAGATAAGAGGGAGTTGTAATTGTAGTTATGTGTGCTTGTGCTTGTGTTTTTGGACATAATTCATAATTCATTTCCGTATGCAGCAAAGTGCAACAATAAAAGCATTAGCCACTGGAATAGATGTCATGTTGTCCTGGAAGCAACAGCAGCAACAACAACAATGTAGACAAAGCCACCGTTGCGACGCTTTTGGCACACAAATCTCAATTTAAAACAATCAAATGGAATGAAAAAACATAAACCAAGTGAAAAAATACAACAACAACAACAAAGCAGACCAGCAGCAGAGCAGCTACAGAAAACAACGCAAAACTGTAAACAAACGAAATATGCACAACTACATGCACACAGACAAGTGGTGGTATATACACACACATACATACACACACTCACACGGTGCACAGCAACTGCTGGCGATGGCGCAATACACATACACCCATGCACAGTCTTATTCACTCACGCTCATATAAGGCTAGCCTAGCCTGTTTGTTCACCACACTCCAGAGCGTTGGTCTCGCCGAAATGTCTCACCGTCCCACCGACCGACCGTCGTCTCGTCGTGCTCGCTCTCCTGTCAGTCTATCGGTCGGTCGTTCAGTCAGCCGTTCGGTCGTTCAGTTAGTCGGTCGGTCGTTCGTTCGGTCAGACGGTGACGTTTCGTCATGTTCTCATGTGTTCCAGCAACGTTGTTTCATTCTACAATGCAAACGTCGCGGCAATGAAACGTTTCAGTTTCTGTTTAAACGTGAACGTGTGCGGTATGCTGAAGTAGGGAGTATTTTGAAATTTATTTCTCTGCTCAACAATCATATGTGAGCGGCAAACACGAACGCGCAACAGCAGCTGTAAAAAGACCGACGGCAAAACACACAGTCGGACAACAAGAAGAAGACAGCACTAGTCGTGCGTAACCAAAAAAAATACAAGTGACTAAAGAGCAAGGCACGGCAAGGCTAATAAAAGTAAATAAACAAAAAAAAAAACAAAAAGCGCAGGCAGCGACAATTGGCCAGCAGCCAAAATTGTGTTATTTTCTTACACATAAATACATGTTTGTAAGTACACATATATATATATATATATATATATATATTTATTTATATATTATGTATTGTTCGTGTGTGTGTGTTTACATATAGATACGTATTAAGTGCAAGTGTCAAAAAGCAAAGCAGCAACAATCTGAGTTTAAATAGCGCACAACCAACAACAACATCAGCAAATTAAAGACATTCGGTGTATGCGCTGCTTTGCCTCTCTTCCTTCTTCCCTGTTCTTCGGCTTTTGCAGCAACGACATTTGCACGCATTGCTTGCCAACATTATTGTGCGCACAGTGTGTCGAGTGCTGTTCGAAATGCCTGAAATTCAATGCGGTCTCATGGGAGAAGCATGCGGCGCACTCTTACGCCACTGTGCATGCAAAATAAAACGTATGGAAATGAAACGAACGGGCTAACGAGCTGCAACAACCACAAGCAAAGGAAATACTATAAATAAGAGCAAGAAAATCGTTTTTTTTTTTTTTTATCAATAAACAGCAAAAATTTAAGTAAAAAAATTCAAGAATTTTGCAATGAAATGCGCATAATTTCGGTTAACTTACTTAACTGATTTATTCAAGTCTTAAATGATTATAATTAAGTCGGGTAGCTGTGTGTGTGTGTATGTGTAACAGGCCCCTTGAACAGTTTATTGACTAAGTTCGTGATTAAAGTGCTTGTAAGAAGCGCTCATTAAAAAGCGAACAAAAAATTAAACTGTAGCTTAAAATTGATGATGATTATAATGATGATGATGATGATACGTGATACTTGATAATATTTATCGTGCTCTATTGCCATGCATCACTGTGCACTTTCTAATTGCTGTGAATATGTTTGCTGACTTGGCGCCACTTCAAATGACTCTAGAACCGAAACAGTTTTGAATTTAGCTGGTATTTCTCTTAGTGTATACGTACGAATATTTAATTTAATTTTACTAGCTATTTTTAATCATATCAACTGGTATAATTATTAATTATTTACCACCCTCTTTGGACAGGGCAAAACCAATGTAATTAATTTCGTCTTGTGTTTAATTATTTATGTAATACATAATTGTAAACCAATAAAACAATTTTCATAATTTATCTGTCGCATAATTAAATCAGAATCGAGCTAAAAATCGAGGACAACACAACATTGTTGTTGTTGCAACGCACACACACACCATCCCCAAATCCCCTCCCTTTTCGGTCTCAGTGCGGCACATGTTTGAAAACCGTTAAAATGTCTGTTGGCAATTAAATTTGCATAAATTAGACATGCCAAGCGCATTTAAAGCACGCGTGTGCAGCCATAAAAAAAAATATTTACTGCACAGAGGAAAAAACGTACTTTTTTTTTATTTTGGTAATGGTAGTGGAAATGGAATAATACCGTTTTTATTTTTTGGTTTGTTATTGTCTTTAATTAATCACAACAAATGGGGATAGCAACGGCAATTTGCACATCGTCGAGCAAAAGCAATTTTAATGAAGTAGAACTAATTTCTAATTAAAAGCAACATTACAATGCAAAGCAAAATAAACCAAACTAAATTCAGACTCTGTGAGAGAGAGAGCGAGAAGGGGAAACCCAAAAAAACAGAGCATCAGTAATGGACTGAGAGAGTGAGAGGGAAAGACAGAGAAGAAGCTGTTTAGCGGTGGCAGAGGCAGTGGCAGCGACAGCGGGTAATAACGAGTTTAAAGCTCCGCTAGCATGAGCACAACGCACTTACACAAACACACACACACACACGGACTGACATCCACACACACAAGCACAGGCACACATAGAAACCAGAGAGACGACAGCGAAGCGAGCACAGACAGACAGACGCGAAGAGATTCTCACATGCCATGGCGTGTAAAAGTTCTATTCTTTTATGCTTTTATTTTGCCAGCCCCAAAAATAATCGCATTATGATAAGAAACAAAAAAAAAAACAAAAAGCACAAGCCTCGCTCTCTTCCTCTCTCCCGCTCTCTTTTTGTTAGTGGTACGCAAAAAAAAAGGTGAAAAACACAGTGGAACGGTGGAACACAATGTCAGCGCAGCGGCAGAGTTAGGGCAGCGCTGCAGCAGCGCACCGCATACAATTTATATTTGCTTTTAATGCTTGTTGCTGCTTTTTGCTGCTGCTTGCAAACAAATAAAACTGGTTTTCAAGTCAATTAAACAAACCAAAAAAATACAAATACAACAAAATACGAAAAAGAAGAAGAAACAGAAGCAAAAGTAGTAGAAGAAAACGTAGATGCGACAGCGGAGTAACTTTTTTTTTTGTGTAAACAGCTGTGCCAGAGTTGAGCAACGAAAAGTTGATAGAAAACTCTTTAATAACATATTGCAACGACTTCGATGTGCAAGTTGCTCTCGTTGCTGATTACAATAAGTAACTGTAACTGTAAAACAAAAACAATTTCTTTTTTTCACATTTTGTATGTTAAAACTTTTATTTATTGCATTGTAAGCTCAAAATATAATAATACAAAAAAAAAGTGCAAATAACACGCATGCAAAGCTTACTGCTGGCATTGTAAATCAAGCAAATGCTTTCAATGTAATTAAATGGCTTTAAATAAATCTGATTTGATTCAGCCTGCCGCTTTTATGTGTGTATGCATATGTCAGACTGAAAATCTCTTCATGATAATTTCCATTTAGTAATGCGATAAATAAATTCGGCTGCAGAATTTGCCACAAAAACAAAAAACGTGGCATTCGAAAATAGAAACAAGTCAAATGTTGAATGTAAAATGGAAAATTGTGGAAAAGCTGAAAGCCGTTGGCAAATATGTCAAAGGCAACCAAAGAACGTTACTGAAATGTTTGCAAGGGTTGTTTCTTGGTTTTGGCAGTTGGCTTTTAAGCCGCATATAGATTACGGTTTAGACATGTAAGTTAATATGCAATAGTCCTTGTCTGTCAGTTGGGAAGGAGTTTGTGGTCTACAAGCCAATCGATTCTTGATTGCCCACATATAATATTTCCAAATACTTGCTTGCATTATTATTCATTGGATTGTATTTATTGCCCAGAAAACATTCTTCATTTACAATGTGTTAATTAGAATCGGCGAAATTCCCAAATCAATCGAAGCCAAGATTGATTAAGAAAAGCAAATACTAAATTGTTTGCTGTCATTCCAATCAAGTTGACCTTATTGAACAAGCTTCTTCTTCTCTATCTCCACATTGTCCTCATTCTGTCCTGTGCCTCGTCGATTTGAAAAGCTATTGTTTAATTTGAGTACCTCAAAATGCTCGAGATTGCCAATAAAATTTAGTCTCAATCTGACAATTTGCACATTTGAATATCTCCGA